TTGGCACTGCCCACCACTTTCCATGAGCTCTGGCACTCAGCAAATGGTTCAATCTTGATGTCTGGACCTTGGTCACCCAAAGCCAGCTTCATCTTGCTGACCTGAATGTCACCTGTGTCAACCCTGACCTCAGATGTCTGGTGCTCTGCTTCCTTGGTCGTGGCTTGCTCTGGTCGGTGAATGTAGTAGTACTTGCTCAGCAAAGGGTTGGTAGGATGTTCCTTCTTGAGTCGTGGATCCTGCTGGGTGGTGATCCCCCCCCTTTCATAGCAGTCTTTGAGCAAATCTCCAAAGACTTTGGTCCTGTCATCAGGCTCTAGATCTGTCCAGCTCCACCCATTGTGCTTCAAGATCTCAGGAGCTGACCTGAGCTGAAAATGTAAAATGCATGCTGTTTTAAATTAAATGCTGGATGTGGTTTATGTATATATCTTGATGGTACAAGACTATATGCATGGATGTATATGTCTATATGTGTGAATATATTGGAAAATATTATAAGGAATGGATATGCAAAATATGTATATATATATATAGATATAATATATATATATACATATGTGTCTATATGATATATGGCTACCTTCAGGATCTCTTCAAAGAAAATTTCTAACTCTGTGCATCACTCCTCAGAGGAGTGGCCTAAGTGTTATGTATAATCCATAAAAAATTGTTTAGCTGAAACAGAAAATATAATTCAACTTTACCTAGAGACATGTACCCTTCAATAACTTCAGATGAAATCTCCTTAGAGGAGCCGCTGGATTCCACCCTGGAGAGAATCTGCTGAAGGTTGCCCTTGATCCCACCTCCAGCAATGTACTTGCCCACAATGCCCTTCTTCTCATTTGCCGACATGGAGTTGTATTTCTGCAGGGCAAGGGTTTCAATAGCACTGATGATGAAAACAGAATGGGTTTCATGCATGTTGGAGTTCAACAATTTCATGATGAAGATCAATCAAAAATGTATGTCTAATTGGTCACATAATATATAAATATATTTATATATAGGCTCATGTTGATCTAGACCCCTATCCTCCAAGACCATCTGTGCACCCTGAGCTTGTGGATCCTTTGGGTTCTTGGCTTTGTACTTCAGGGCAGTGATGAACTTGGAAACTTCTGCCCTAGAAACATCATTGCTATCCTCCACAGGGTGAACCACTGAAGGTTGGCTAGCAGCCTTAGCCTTAGCTTTGGCCTTGCTCTTCACCTTTTCCTTGACAGGCTTCTTGGGCACAGCAGTTGACTTTCCCATGGTGGCAGCAGAATGAATTGTGTATTTGAACCAATACCAGCTTTGCAAAGATACATGCATTATTCGCCAAGATCACAAGAAACAGGAAGCAAAGCATTGCTGAATTCATTGGTGTTAAAAAATGTTAAAATTTTAACATGTTCTAACATTGTTTAAAATGTTAAAACATTGCTTAACACTAGGTTTATATATATAAATCAATTTAAAACCATATTGTTTTAATTTGTTAAAACATGTTGAAAATGTTAAAATTTTTAACATTGTTTAACGCGAAAAAAATGATGCTTAGTTTTGGAATTCTTCTGATCCAACACTTCCAGCATGACACATTTGATTGGGGTCCCTGGCCAGTGGTAGCCCAGCCATTGTGCTGCCTCTGAACCTGACTTGGCAAGTACTGACATGTGAAAGATGTTGCATGTTTGGTGGAAGGGTTCAGTATATAACATTTCTCCTCTGAGGAGTGCTGACTCTATTCATATCATATACATAGATTTGGAGCTGATATATTTGCATTTTGAAAATATATTTGGATGCAATGGGGTGGGTAGTGACTCCTCTGAGGAGTGCCACTTTCTTAGATGATCAGACTACATCCCAAGTCAATGCAAGATAAACTCCATGATGGCCAATCTCACAAGACAAAAACTTGGAGCAAGATATGAAACACTACTGCACTCAACACAACTGTCAACAGTCTGAGGATCCACACAGCTCTCTGCAGCAGGGTCTGGCCTGAGTGCAACAAGGGTTGGAAGAATATGTTTTTGTGAATGGGGGGATGCAAATCTCTGTTGACTAAACATGAGCAGCTTGTGCAAATCAGACTGGATTCTTTCCAATGGTATTCAAAAACAAATCATCTCCTCTGAGGAGATTGATACCAATTGAGATATTGGCTACAAACAAGACCTCCTCTGAGGAGATCTTGTACCTCAAAGAGCAGCAGCAGCAGCAAGGACCTTTTTTCCTGAAAGATCAGCTCCGCGTGTCTGTCCCTTTGCAGGGCAGTGATCCGCAGCACACACAGGTCCTTTACCAGACCTCCACTGCTGCCAGTTGTACTCCTGCTACTGTCTGCGCCAAGGAGCTGATTGAATTGCCTTCTGGACCCTTTGGTCCATCCAGCTCTTTTGGTCCAGGGAGGGGTTGGGAACTGGATTGTCTGAGCCCACCCACTGGCCCTTAGCCTTCTTATTCATGATTGCAGCATGCAAACTCAGAACTCGTTTGACACCCTTGCTTCTCCTTTTCTTGGCTGCCTCGGCAATGGCCTGCTGGTGCTCCTCTCCCATATTGTGCAGCTCTGGTGGCACAGATGGCGCAGTTGGGTGCTCCTGTATGTCGCCACTGTCCAGATCCTCTATGATCAGTGGAGATTCTGCAGCTGGCAAGGGGGCTTCTGGCACTTGCATTGCCTCGGGCAGCTCATCCTTGTACTCAACCAGGCAATCCTGCATTGCTTGGGATAGCTGCTTGCATTCCTTCTATGTATGTATGTATGTATGTATGAATGTATGTATGTATGTATGTAGGTACGTACGTACGTACGTACGTATGTATGTATGTATGTTATGTATGTATGTTATGTGTTATGTATGTATGTTATGTATGTATGTATGTTATGTATGTTATGTATGTTATGTATGTTATGTATGTTATGTATGTATGTATGCTTGTATGTATGTTATGTTATGTTATGTTATGCTATGCTACGTATGTATGTATGTATGTTATGTGTTATGTATGTATGTATGTATGTATGTATGTTATGTATGTATGTTATATGTATGTATGTATGTATGTATGTAATAATGTAATGTATGTAATGCATGTATGTATGTTGTTATGTTAAGTTAAGTTATTTATGTATGTATGTTATGTATGTTATGTATGTTATGTATGTTAAGAGTGTTATGTACGTTATGTATGTATGTATGCTTGTATGTATGTATGTATGTTATGTTATGTTATGATATATTATGTTATGTTATGTTATGCTATGGTATGTATGTACTTATGTATGTATGTGTGTATGTATGTATGTATGTACGTACGTACGTACGTACGTACGTATGTATGTATGTATGTATGTTATGTATGTATGTTATGTATGTATGTTATTTATGGATGTTATGTATGTATGTTATGTATGTTATGTATGTTATGTATGTTATGTATGTTATGTATGTTATGTATGTTATGTATCTTATGTATGTATGTATGTATGTTTGTATGTATGCATGCATGTATGTATGTATGTATGTTATGTATGTATGTATGTTATGTATGTATGTATGTTAATTATGGATGTTATGTTATGTATGTTAATTATGGATGTTATGTTATGTATGTATGTATGTATGTACGTACGTACGTACGTACGTATGTTTGTATGTATGTATGGTATGTATGTTATGTATGCATGTTATGTATGTTTGCTATGTATGTATGTTATGTATGTATGTTATGTATGTATGTTATGTATGTATGTTATGTATGTATGTTATGTATGTATGTTATGTATGTATGTAGTGCATGTAATGCATGTAATGTATGTAATGTATGTAATGTATGTTATGTATGTATGTATGTATGTACGTACGTATGTATGTATGTTATGTATGTATGTTATTTATGGATGTTATGTATGTATGTTATGTATGTTATGTATGTTATGTATGTTATGTATGTTATGTATGTTATGTATGTTATGTATGTTATGTATGTTATGTATGTTATGTATGTTATGTATCTTATGTATGTATGTATGTTTGTTTGTATGTATGTATGGTATGTATGTTATGTATGCATGTTATGTATGTTATGTATGTATGTATGTTATGTATGTATGTATGTTATTTATGGATGTTATGTATGTATGTATGTTATGTATGTTATGTATGTTATGTATGTTATGTAGGTATGTATGTATGTTTGTATGCATGTATGTATGTATGTTAAGTTATGTTATGATATATTATGTTATGTTATGCTATGCTATGGTATGTATGTATGTATGTATGTATCGTATGTAATGTATGTAATGTATGTAATGCATGTAATGCATGTAATGCATGTAATGTATGTAATGTATGTAATGTATGTATGTATGTAATGTAATGTCATGTCATGTCATGTAATGTACTGTACTGTAATGTAATGTACGTAATGTAATGTAATGTAATGATTGTATGCATGTATATGTATGTATTTATATGTATGTATGTATATGTATGTATGTACCATGGTATGTATCATGGTATGTATCATGGTATGTATCATGGTATGTATATGTATGCATATGTATGTATATGTATGTATATGTATGTGTATGTATATATATATATGTATATATGTATATATATATATTATGTATGTATTATATATGTATAGATATATAAAAATATATATATGTAATATATGTGTGTATAATTCATCAAGCGGTTGGGCATGGGTCAGAGAGCTTCAGGACCGAACCATGTTGATCATTCTACACATGTTTGGCAATGATTTTTCATTCTACACACATTTTTTTATGGCAATAATCCTCCCAGCAATCATCCCAACGTATCCCAGCAATAAGATCATCGTCCCAGTAATCATTCACTCCCTGACTGGGATGATCTAATATATTCGATGATAATGGATAATATATCAAACGTTAAACAATCCCAAGCCTTTTTGTAGTTCATGATAGTTATCATTCGTCCACCATCCGTTGTTTTCTTCCCAGTCTCATGGTAAAGCTATGCTGCCCTCTGGGATGCAACGTGAGATCATGGGCATCCACATACCACGGCTCTGGCAACAACTCCTCACTTGGCGATGGCGATGCCGCAGCTGCAGCCTCTGGTGGCAAAATGGCCCCTTAAGGATCTTTAAGGTACAAGTAGAATCTGGTTCCAAAATAGTGATAGACTAAACGACTACATAATGATATAATCTAATATATATATATACATATATATTTATCCAACATATTTAATGTCAAGCCAACCAGAGAGATTTGCTGATAGGTTGGAAGATGTTGAAAGATGTTGGAAGATGTTGGAAGCATGCCCATTTTTGGTTGGCTACAGCAGAACCCCCACAACATCGGCGCCATTCGGCGCCTGTTCCTCCGACGTCGTCTTGCGGCGCGCGGCGTCGTCCCACTTCCAGCGGCGTTCTGCCCAGCGATCTTCCTGTGCCCGTGTGGTGTCCATGGTTCATGAAGATGTTGCAACACGAAATTCGATGTGTTTATAATTATATTTATCTGTTTTTAATATTTACAAACATTATCATGACCTTCATTTTTGATCCTTACACATGTACTATTTCAAAAGTGAACTTTCAAATTGCACAAAAAGGGGGAGTTTAACCCATCATGTTTGTTGTCTAACTGGAATCTCATAATCCTTGCGATGAATGCCAAGTGGATGGTAATTTGTTGTGTTACATATACCCCGTATACCCCATCATGGCACTGGTATATGCTGGTGGCTGCTCATATCGATCCCATTCACACTGTTTATGATAAGATATCTATCAGGAACTTCCAACGTAGATGATTCAGAAGGATAATTCTCATCATATGTTTCAGTGAGGAGTTTTACAGCAAGCAGGCCGAAGTAGACCGAAAGTGGCCAGGTTCTGGTGGGGCGTATAGCCAAAAAAATCGTCCACACTATCAAGAAACCACCTGGGCATGGATCTCACCTTTCAGGTACTAAAGGTATCTAAGGAGACAACTGAAATATCCATCCATATCCCATTTTCAGATTCGTTGACACCATGATCATTAAGATGATTGCTACTGTACCCAACATCAAGATCGATAGGTAGGCTCCGTCTGTAGATGACAATCGGTCAACTCTAAGACCCAAATGGGCCCGCGGATTTAGAGAATAACATTCTTAGGAATTTAGGAATCAAATAGTGTGGTCAGTGTGGTCTCAATTTTTGACTCATCCCATTCCATCCCGAAAAAACATCCCATAACTGCCCCCTGTAAAAACCTGCTGAAAGGCCTTCCTAGCCTCACCAACTATCCACCAACGATTCACCAAGGAACAGACCTATCCTTCCAGTCTTTCCACCCCCAAGACGAAGACCTTGGCGCAAGAATCATCTGGTTGGTGGTTTCAATCCATCTGAAACACATTAAATATAGTCACAGGGGATCATCATCCCGTTTCGGTGGTTGAAACAAATATATGAAACCACCAACCAGTCTACTTATTTCAACCACAAAATGGGTATAGGTCCCGTTTGGGGGCCGCACAGGGACAGTATAATAGAAACCATCAACGAGCCATGGACATTAGTAATGTCTTGGCTGTTTCTTTTTCTATGTGTTTTTTTTTTGCGGGGCGGCGCAGGGACAACAAATAATGATGATGATGATGATGATGATGATGATGATGTTGTAGTGGCAGGCACAGTAAGTTGAAAGTCGTTGAACCGCTTGGTTGATGCGGAATGAAATCACACAGCTCTTTATTGGAGTAACTCGGGCGGTGGTCCGGTGGTCATCTGTGAATCCCAATGCCGCCGTCAACACATGGTCACATGGTAGCTTGTGGTCATCCCTCAGTTGGAAATCCTTATGCTAGTAGTGAGATGTAGTGGGTAGATCAATCCCTAATAGATTGATGGCCATCCGACAATATGGCTACAGTGTAATTTTCAACTTTTGACCACGGCACAGAAAAACCGTAGCTTCTATTAACATAGACCCATTTTTAATAAATGACCTTTTTTTTGTGGAATTCAATCTTCCAACCCCCTGTCTGCCAGAGTCCATGTTAACCATCTTTCCTGGGTCCCCGAACGATTGCGCTTGCTGCGCTTGCTGCGCTTGCCATCCGTTCCAGCCCTGCAACGGCTCCACCAAAGTATTAAAAAAAAAAAACGGGGTTTGACCAAGTCCCACAGATTGAACATGATTGACAGGTGTCTGAAAAGTGGAAACTAAGGACAATCCATTCAACTCATAATACACTTTACATTACCGTGAATCCTAGGGGAAAAAACTATGGAAGGGACATACGGTACAGCAGTAAGAATTGACCTGCCATCACAAGACACTAAATCTCTGACGCAGGTGATGGAAACCAAGTGGCAAGGTGGGAAACCTCCACACCCACAGAGAGTGGACATGAATGATTATGAAGTTGCCCCTCAACACATCCTGTTGCTTATTAGGGAGTAGGGGAGTGGGATTAAAAGTTATTAGGATCGTTCCCCCCATTCCCTACTACTATTTCAGAGCGGCTTCACCTTTTTCCGAACTTCTTAGACCACTTGCTTGACAGCTAAAAGATGGAATATGTGTCCTTAGGAACCTTCTGTAACATTTCTTTTTCATCGTGCAGCTTCACAGGCAAGCAGGCACATATACCCTATACATCTGCATGGTCGACTTTAGGTCTATATATAGATCCTTTTTGGTATGTTTAATATTAAAATGTATCAATATTATTGGACACAATCGATTGATGTTACATACACTCACGGCTATCAGCCATTACTCGACTGTTGACCAATCCATAGTGGCAAATGACCTGAGGGATGTCCACAAAAGAATTGTCTAACTGAACCCATTCTGGCACTGGACCGATGTATACATATGTTTGTATATTCTATAACCCAGATACTAAGCCAGATATGATATTTGACCCATGTATATATATAATATAATACAAATGTAATATAGTACCAAAATACTATATGATTACTATATAACAATATATGACCCAAATATACCCCGATATGAAAAACGCTTAACACAGTCCATGGCCCCCATGACCCATCACCTGCCGCCAGTTCTCGTCTCCCCAGTCCCCTTGGCTGGGTCAAAAAGCTATGGAATTACCGACTGGGGGGAATAAACATCCATTCACCAGCTATTTTAGGATACGGCGCCAAGGTTTTGATTCACAATGTCATAGATAGGATGTGATTTATGGGGTGTCCATCCGTTTTATAGATGCCTATGAATTCCAACTAAACGGATTGATGATCATCTCCTTTGATTAGAATATACCATGTTTTGGCCGTGGCACATATATCCTGGCTGGTGGTTTTAACACCCTAAAATACGCTCGTCAATAAGGCTCATCATCCGCATTCCTATGACCGGAAAACAAAAAACCCAACAACTACCAGTATCTGGCTGAATGGTGTATATATATATATTATATATGTAATCCATATATATATATATGTAATCCACCAAGCTAGAGTTTCTGTTCATTTTGCTCTGGTTCCCCTAGAGTAAGGCATAATCTATCGTGGCGTCGTTTTGTGGGGTCGTTATCATTCAACCCGAAAATGGGAAAAATGAAGCAACAGAAAGAGCTGCACTGAACACCCTTGAAATCAACATCTAAAAGACCATAAGCGAATGGGGTTTACTGGGGTCTACTGGTCTTGTTTCACTTATCAATGTGTCCCTTATTTTTGGCACTCCCATTTCAACATGTTCCACCCATTTTCAACATTTTTCAACGCTATGCTGCCCCAACATCCCTCATGCTGCGCAGGCCACTGGGTGTGCGCGACGCACTCCGCATGGCTCAATAGCGACAGCTTCTGTTCCGTAGCGTCAGAGCCGAAACGTTTACGGCACAGAGGATACGATTTTCTGTGTGTCTAGCGGAATATGGGGTGTAACGCGAAATTATTGCCTGTTCAATAGTGAACATATGTGAAAATGGTGATACTAACCAGTGGAATAGTGAAAATGAAAATAGTGAAAATGTATTGAATAGTGAAAATATGTAAAAATATGTGAACATGATCATTAACCAGTGGATGGAATAGCGTACCGGCGCACCCCGATTGTAGACAAACCCATATTAATAGCCAACAATGATGTGGTCATCACCTGCCATTAGTCCTCTGGTCCACCTTCCTAGTTAGGTTCTCTTATTCCTTATCTCCGACAAATACATCAAAAATCAAGATCATCCTCAGGTCCTAGACAAATAATATATATTGTTTATATTGTTTTCTTGGTTGGTTGTACCCCTTTTCAACATGCTGTCATAGAAATGTCGCCCAACACTGCTTACCTCTAGCAAGCCCAGAATGTTTGCTACCAGACTCCCACCTCAAAGACCTTGGCTGCAGAAGGTCGCTCCACCGGATTCCACTCGAAGCACTTGGAGAGGATTTCTTTCACCTGGCTGCCATTGCAGGTCATCCTCACCGGATCCAAGGTGCGGTAAATCATAGCAAAACATGCGAAATGTTCAGCTGGTTGGTGGTATACTATACAACCCCCTCTGAAAAATGATGGAGATCGTCAGTTGGGATGATGAAATTCCCAATATATGGAAATTCCCTATGGAAAAAAAAATGTTCCAAACCACCAACCAGTCAGGGTTTTGCAGGGACACCAGGTTTGATATCTTTTGATTATCCTTGCGGATGTGAGGAAATTACAAGCAAAAGGCAAGACTTAGGATGGTGTGATTGTTTACCATTAATTATTTTAAATATGGGAGTTTCTTAAAATGAGTGATCCCCCAAATCATCTAAAATTAGATCATTTTAGTATTGAAACCCATGGTTTTGGGGATCCATCATTTTAGGAAACCTCCAATATGTTTTCCAACAAAATCCCATGGCGCTGACGCCAAACTTCTCTGGGCCTCTGGGTGAAAAGGCACCGCCCAATCATCCTCAGCAGCTTCCGGTGAGAAATCTCTGACCATGGTGTTTCCATTGAAACACATAAGTTATTGTCATTGTGGCTGTTTCGGGTCACGTGCTCTCGGTCCACGGGGACGGTGGTTTTTGTTTTTGTCCACCAAGATGATTGTCAGGCCATGTCAGGCCATATTGTGGGGGTGGGGTTCCGCCCGCGTTTTCTAACATGCTCTGGATGCTACGCTCTTGATGTTTTCAAGTAAGTTTCCAAGATGTTCTGGATGCAATGCTCTTGACTTTCTCAAGTAAGTTTCCAAGATGCTCTGGATGCTACGTTCTTGATGTTTTCAAGTAAGTTTCCAAGATGCTCTGGATGCAATGCTCTTGACTTTCAAGTAAGTTTCCAAGATGCTCTGGATGCTACGCTCTTGATGTTTTCAAGTAAGTTTCCAAGATGCTCTGGATGCAATGCTCTTGGCTTTCTCAAGTATGTTTCCAAGATGCTCTGGATGCTACGCTCTTGATGTTTTCAAGTAAGTTTCCAAGATGCTCTGGATGCAATGCCCTTGACTTTCTCAAGTAAGTTTCCAAGATGCTCTGGATGCTACGCTCTTGATGTTTTCAAGTAAGTTTCCAAGATGCTCTGGATGCAATGCTCTTGACGTTCTCAAGTAAGTTTCCAAGATGCTCTGGATGCTACGCTCTTGATGTTTTCAAGTAAGTTTCCAAGATGCTCTGGATGCAATGCTCTTGACTTTCTCAAGTAAGTTTCCAAGATGCTCTGGATGCTACGCTCTTGACGTTTTCAGTTTTCAAGTAAGTTTCCAAGATGCTCTGGATGCAATGCTCTTGGCTTTCTCAAGTGAGTTTCCAAGATGCTCTGGATGCTAAACTCTTGACTTTCTCAAGTAAGTTTCCAAGATGCTCTGGATGCTACGCTCTTGATGTTTTCAAGCAAGTTTCCAACATGCTCTGGATGCAATGCTCTTGACTTTCTCAAGTAAGTTTCCAAGATGCTCTGGATTCTACGCTCTTGATGTTTTCAAGTAAGTTTCCAAGATGCTCTGGATGCAATGCTCTTGGCTTTCTCAAGTAAGTTTCCAAAATGCTCTGGATGCTACGCTCTTGGTGTTTTCAAGTAAGTTTCCAAGATGCTCTGGATGCAATGCTCTTGACATTCTCAAGTAAGTTTCCAACATGCTCTGGATGCTACGCTCTTGATGTTTTCAAGTAAGTTTCCAAGATGCTCTGGATGCTAAACTCTTGACTTTCTCAAGTAAGTTTCCAACATGCTGTGGATGCTACACTCTTGATGTTTTCAAGTAAGTTTCCAAGATGCTCTGGATGCAATGCTCTTGACTTTCTCAAGTATGTTTCCAAGATGCTCTGGATGCTACGCTCTTGATGTTTTCAAGTAAGTTTCCAAGATGCTCTGGATGCAATGCTCTTGGCTTTCTCAAGTAAGTTTCCAAGATGCTCTGGATGCTACGCTCTTGATGTTTTCAAGTCAGTTTCCAAGATGCTCTGGATGCAATGCTCTTGACTTTCTCAAGTAAGTTTCCAAGATGCTCTGGATTCTACACTCTTGATGTTTTCAAGTAAGTTTCCAAGATGCTCTGGATGCAATGCTCTTGACTTTCTCAAGTAATTTTCCAACACGCTCTTGATGCAATGCTCTTGACTTTCTCAAGCAAGTTTCCAACACGCTCTGCATGCTACGCTCTTGATGATCTCAAGGAAGTTTCCAACATGCTCTGGATGCTACGCTCTTGATGTTTTCAAGTAAGTTTCCAAGATGCTCTGAATGCAATGCTCTTGGCTTTCTCAAGTAAGTTTCCAACATGCTCTGGATGCTACGCTCTTGATGTTTTCAAGTAAGTTTCCAAGATGCTCTGGATGCAATGCTCTTGACTTTCTCAAGTAAATTTCCAACATGCTCGGGATGCTACGCTTTTGATGTTTTCAAGTAAGTTTCCAAGATGCTCTGGATGCAATGCTCTTGACTTTCTCAAGTAAGTTCCCAAGATGCTCTGGATGCTACGCTCTTGATGTTTTCCAGTAAGTTTCCAAGATGCTCTGGATGCAATGCTCTTGACTTTCTCAAGTAAGTTTCCAAGATGCTCTGGATGCTACGCTCTTGATGTTTTCAAGTCAGTTTCCAAGATGCTCTGGATGCAATGCTCTTGACTTTCGCAAGTAAGTTTCCAACATGCTCTGGATGCTACGCTCTTGATGTTTTCAAGTAAGTTTCCAAGATACTCTGGATGCAATGCTCTTGACTTTCTCAAGTAAGTTTCCAACATGCTCTGGATGCTACGCTCTTGATGTTTTCAAGTAAGTTTCCAAGATGCTCTTGATGCTACGCTTTTGACTTTCTCAAGTAAGTTTCCAAGACGCTCTTGATGCAATGCTCTTGGCTTTCTCAAGTAAGTTTCCAACATGCTCTGGATGCTACGCTCCTGATGTTTTCAAGTAAGTTTCCAAGATGCTCTGGATGCAATGCTCTTGACTTTCTCAAGTAAGTTTCCAAGATGCTCTGGATGCTACGCCCTTGATGTTTTCAAGTAAGTTTCCAAGATGCTCTTGATGCTACGGTCTTGATGATCTCAAGTAAGTTTCCAAGATGCTCTGGATTCTACGCTCTTGATGTTTTCAAGTAAGTTTCCAAGATGCTCTGGATGCAATGCTCTTGGCTTTCTCAAGTATGTTTCCAAGATGCTCTGGATGCTACGCTCTTGATGTTTTCAAGTAAGTTTGGATGCTAAACTCTTGACTTTCTCAAGTAAGTTTCCAACATGCTGTGGATGCTACACTCTTGATGTTTTCAAGTAAGTTTCCAAGATGTTCTTGATGCTATGGTCTTGATGATCTCAAGTAAGTTTCCAAGACGCTCTTGATGCAATGCTCTTGGCGTTCTCAAGAAAGTTTCCAACATGCTCTGGATGCTACGCTTTTGACTTTCTCAAGTAATTTTCCAACACGCTCTTGATGCAATGCTCTTGACTTTCAAGTAAGTTTCCAACACGCTCTGGATGCTACGCTCTTGATGATCTCAAGTAAGTTTCCAAGACGCTCTTGATGCTACGCTTTTGACTTTCTCAAGTAAGTTTCCAGACGCTCTTGATGCAATGCTCTTCACTTTCTCAAGTAAGTTTCCAACATGCTCTGGATGCTACGCTCTTGATGTTTTCAAGTAAGTTTCCAAGATGCTCTTGATGCTACGGTCTTGATGATCTCAAGTAAGTTTCCAAGACGCTCTTGATGCTACGCTTTTGACTTTCTCAAGTAATTTTCCAACACGCTCTTGATGCAATGCTCTTGACTTTCTCAAGTAAGTTTCCAAGATGCTCTGGATTCTACGCTCTTGATGTTTAAGTAAGTTTCCAAGATGCTCTGGATGCTACGCTCTTGATGTTTTCAGTTTTCAAGTAAGTTTCCAAGATGCTCTGGATGCAATGCTCTTGACTTTCTCAAGTAAGTTTCCAAGATGCTCTGGATGCTCTTGACTTTCTCAAGTAAGTTTCCAAGATGCTCTGGATGATGCTCAAGTAAGTTTCCAAGATGCTCTGGATGCAACTCTTGACTTTCTCAAGTAAGTTTCCAAGATGCTCTGGATGCTACGCTCTTGACGTTTTCAGTTTTCAAGTAAGTTTCCAAGATGCTCTGGATGCAATGCTCTTGGCTTTCTCAAGTGAGTTTCCAAGATGCTCTGGATGCTAAACTCTTGACTTTCTCAAGTAAGTTTCCAAGATGCTCTGGATGCTACGCTCTTGATGTTTTCAAGCAAGTTTCCAACATGCTCTGGATGCAATGCTCTTGACTTTCTCAAGTAAGTTTCCAAGATGCTCTGGATTCTACGCTCTTGATGTTTTCAAGTAAGTTTCCAAGATGCTCTGGATGCAATGCTCTTGGCTTTCTCAAGTAAGTTTCCAAGATGCTCTGGATGCTACGCTCTTGGTGTTTTCAAGTAAGTTTCCAAGATGCTCTGGATGCAATGCTCTTGACATTCTCAAGTAAGTTTCCAACATGCTCTGGATGCTACGCTCTTGATGTTTTCAAGTCGGTTTCCAAGATGCTCTGGATGCAATGCTCTTGACTTTCTCAAGTAAGTTTCCAAGATGCTCTGGATGCTACGCTCTTGATGTTTTCAAGTAAGTTTCCAAGATGCTCTGGATGCAATGCTCTTGGCTTTCTCAAGTAAGTTTCCAACATGCTCTGGATGCTACGCTCTTGATGTTTTCAAGTAAGTTTCCAAGATGCTCTGGATGCAATGCTCTTGACTTTCTCAAGTAAATTTCCAACATGCTCGGGATGCTACGCTCTTGATGTTTTCAAGTAAGTTTCCAAGATGCTCTGGATGAAATGCTCTTGACTTTCTCAAGTAAGTTTCCAAGATGCTCTGGATGCTACGCTCTTGATGTTTTCAAGTAAGTTTCCAACATGTTCTGGATGCTACGCCCTTGATGTTTTCAAGTAAGTTTCCAAGATGCTCTTGATGCTACGGTCTTGATGATCTCAAGTAAGTTTCCAAGATGCTCTTGATGCAATGCTCTTGACTTTCCCAAGTAAGTGTCCAACATGCTCTGGATGCTACGCTCTTGATGTTTTCAAGTAAGTTTCCAAGATGCTCTTGATGCTACGGTCTTGATGATCTCAAGTAAGTTTCCAAGACGCTCTTGATGCTCTTGACTTTCTCAAGTAAGTTTCCAACATGCTGTGGATGCTACACTCTTGATGTTTTCAAGTAATTTTCCGAGATGTTCTTGATGCTATGGTCTTGATGATCTCAAGTAAGTTTCCAACACGCTCTTGATGCAATGCTCTTCACTTTCTCAAGTAAGTTTCCAACATGCTCTGGATGCTACGCTCTTGATATTTTCAAGTAAGTTTCCAGACGCTCTTGATGCTACGCTTTTGACTTTCTCAAGTAAGTTTCCAACACGCTCTTGATGCAATGCTCTTGACTTTCTCAATTAAGTTTCCAACATGCTCTGGATGCTACGCTCTTGATGTTTTCAAGTTTCCAGAAGCTCTTGATGCAATGCTCTTCACTTTCTCAAGTAAGTTTCCAACATGCTCTGGATGCTACGCTCTTGATGTTTTCAAGTAAGTTTCCAAGATGCTCTTGATGCTACGGTCTTGATGATCTCAAGTAAGTTTCCAAGACGCTCTTGATGCTACGCTTTTGACTTTCTCAAGTAATTTTCCAACACGCTCTTGATGCAATGCTCTTGACTTTCTCAAGCAAGTTTCCAGCACGCTCTGGATGCTACGCTCTTGATGATCTCAAGTAAGTTTCCAAGACGCTCTGGATGCTACGCTCTTGATGTTTTCAGTTTTCAAGTAAGTTTCCAAGATGCTCTGGATGCAATGCTCTTGACTTTCTCAAGTGAGTTTCCAAGATGCTCTGGATGCTAAACTCTTGACTTTCTCAAGTAAGTTTCCAAGATGCTCTGGATGCTACGCTTTTGACTTTCTCAAGTAATTTTCCAACACGCTCTTGATGCAATGCTCTTGACTTTCTCAAGCAAGTTTCCAACACGCTCTGGATGCTACGCTCTTGATGATCTCAAGTAAGTTTCCAAGACGCTCTTGATGCTACGCTTTTGACTTTCTCAAGTAAGTTTGCAACATGCTCTGGATGCTACGCTCTTGATGTTTTCAAGTAAGTTTCCAAGATGCTCTTGATGCTACGGTCTTGATGATCTCAAGTAAGTTTCCAAGACGCTCTTGACGCTACGCTTTTGACTTTCTCAAGTAATTTTCCAACATGCTCTGGATGCTACGGTCTTGGTGATGCTACGGTTTTAATGATCTCAAGTAAGTTTCCAAGATGCTCTGGATGCTACGGTCTTGATGATCTCAAGTAAGTTTCCAAGACGCTCTTGATGCTACGCTTTTGACTTTCTCAAGTAAGTTTCCAACATGCTCTGGATGCTACGCTCTTGATGTTTTCAAGTAAGTTTCCAAGACGCTCTTGATGCTACGGTCTTGATGATCTCAAGTAAGTTTCCAAGACGCTCTTGATGCTACGCTTTTGACTTTCTCAAGTAAGTTTCCAAGACGCTATTGATGCTACGCTCTTGACTTTCTCAAGTAAGTTTCCAAGACGCTCTTGATGCTACGCTCTTGACTTTCTCAAGTAAGTGTCCAAGACGCTCTTGATGCTACGCTCTTGATGTTTTCCAGTGAGTTTCCAAGACGCTCTTGATTCTACGCTCTTGACTTTCTCAAGTAAGTGTCCAAGACGGTCTTGACGCTACGCTCTTGATGTTTTCAAGTATTAAGTTTCAACACGCTGATGGTGCTATGGTCTTGACTTTTGGGCTACGTTTGTTTGCAGATAAGAATCAAATGAACATTGCGATATATTGCGATGTTTTGCATTGTGTCCCATTAAAGGTTGCTCGCAAAGTCAAGGGCAACGCCAAAATTTCCAGGACGCAAGTCTTAGATGGGACTTGGATGTGGCTGAAAGCCTCAAAACAAAACATGACAAAGTCATTAACCCGCGTTTGTAGGACTATGTGTACCAGTTTTAGACACAACAAGAAAGATTAGAGAGACATGCCTGTGGATGAAGAAACGATTTGTTTGTCCTTTTGCATTTCCTGGCATTGCAACATGAAAACACAAAACACTGTAAACAAAAGTGAGACACACAATTTTGAACGATTTCACCCGAGTACTGAGCACGCGTGTTGCCTTGTTTTCACTTAAACAGAAGTGAAACACATATAAAATAGTATATAATATACTTTGGTATACTTTAGTTGTGCTTAGTTAAGCAAACTATAGTATATTGTAGTATAGCATTGGACGATCAGGTTTTTGAATTAAGTTGTAGTGTTGAGCAGTGTCTTCCTTTACAGCAGGAACTGGGTATTCCTCCAAACGGTGCAGCAATCCAGCTGGATGCAGGGTCCAAATTTTCAGCTGCGGCTTTCAAGCCTCGATGACCTTTCGGGTACCCTTAATAGGAACACTCATATTAATTACCATCTGGTTATTTAACATAGCCATGGAAAATGGCCAATTTATAGATGGTTTACCTATTAAAAATGGTGATTTTCCATGGCTATGTTAAATAACCAGAGGGTATAGGAGATTTTTTTTGGGTACCCTTAATAAGAAGACCCATATCAACTATAGATGATTATAGAAGATTATACAGCTGATGTGTTTCCATCCCTCAACAAAGACATGCAAAACAGTATCTATTGAAGTTGAAGGATCAGCCCGATATATCCCGATATTAGTCAGCTGGAACCAGCCAAGACAAGCCCCAGCAGGATGGGAAAAAACAATCATCGAAGCCCCCACCAATCGATTTATTGGGGTTTGTCTCAGAATGAGATGCCCTCAAATCGGAGTATCATCAACATCCCAAAAAAGGAAAATGCAAATTTGCTGTATATTGCTGTATGCATTTTCTGACCAATCCCAACTTGACAAGTGAACTCCCATGCTTCCAAGACTAAACATGGCCTATGCCTATGATGCCTATGTGGCTTTGTCTTAAAATTGGCCCCCAAATCCATGATCATGGTATACCCATGGTCTGTACCCAATAGTAAATGATCATAGGTTTGTCTTAAATTGTGGGAAATGATCATCCGCACCATGTTCCCCGGCCGTCTATGGCCATCAATTGGTTTGTCATCACTGTTGGATCCCATGATACTCCAGAAGGCATATCTATTTTTCGAAAAGAATTCTAATCTATGAATATATGATCATATCAAAGTGGTGATGATTAAATTACAATATATATATATATACATATTTGTAATATAATCCCGAATTGTTATATGATGTTATAATGAAATCCAAATTTGGACCAGCCATGACAAAGCTGAATCTGGGTCAGCCTGCAGTGAAGGGTGGCTCTTTGGTCACCAGCAGCTTGGTCGCTACCTTCCGAGAGAATACTTGGGAGTCTTCCAGCATGTCACCGCAATTCAACCCACCCCATGAAGATGTGTATATACAAATGTATGTACATATATATATATATACATTAGATATATATATATATATAATGAGATTGCTATATTAAACACAGACTGTGTCCTTTCTTGAGCAAGTGATTTGTGACGACACAAAAGCTTGCCAGGTTTTTTCAAGGTGGATCAACAGCCCTCTGAAGTCTCAACCATACCTGGAACATGACGCTTTTGGATGATGTTAAAGTAATGATCAAATATGTACCCTCTGGTAATTTAACATAGCTATTGAAAATAGCCATTTATAGTGGATTTATCCATTAAACATGGTGATTTTCCATAGTTACGTTAGTTTACCAGAGGGTATGTCTTCATATCTCTTCAACTGCATGGACGCTTGCTCATGCATCATGAGAAATTTGAATTATATACTTGCAATTTATTGCCATTGCATGACTGTCCAGCCTTTAAGTCTTGTCATTAGGACCCAACAGTCCACCAACGAAAGGGAGAATGACATATCTACACAATATATATATATAATTATGTATATATACATGTATATAATTATGCATGTGTATATATAATTATGTGTATATATATAATTATGTATTATGTATATACATATATAATACTGTATGTATATATATATATGAAGGTTTGCTAAAATAAAGGTACCGCAATCATTTAAGTTATATTTTCGTATTGAAACCCATGGTGACTTGGGGATTCCCCATTTCAAGAAATCCCCATATATAGTACGCAATAATGGATCTGGAAACATTAACTAATTCACTGAACTGACAAGGCCATTTGGGCATATAGTTACCCCACTCCAATTTCCATCACTCCGCTACCTGTTGCACGTTGATGCATCCTTCATGAGGCACTCGCGTGGTCAGCACCTAGCGATCTCTCAGCCGACAACCGGCGAATCACCAAACACATTCCAAGCTGAAGCCAGTTTTGCTGGCTGGAACTTGATAGTGAGCTTGGAAAAAGGTCTCCACATTGGATCAACAAGTAGTTGTCAATTTCAATGCATCTTCTTTCATCTTCGTATTTGTTTAAATTATATAAGTTTTCCATATCGTGTGTTTTCGGCGTTTTCTCCTCCCAGCGGTTTCCCTCCTTCCCCGGTTTGACGCCTCGACAGCCAGGCAGCCCAATGCCCAAAGGTCCATCTTTTCAGTAAGCTTGCCAGGGGCGTGGAACAACTCAGGCGACATATACCTGCCAATGAACCCTGGGACCTTCATAGAATCATGAGTTTCAAGAAGACTCAAATACCTCAGTTTGTTTTTGATGATCCTAACTAAGTGCTATGGGTGTTAACATGTTTTAACATCTTAACCATGATCGGATTTGGCCTTCATGGGAGACACTGAGCATCATCCCATCTTAACATGGTGAACCCATCGGAGCCTGGGCGATCCCGCTTCCGCGTCTCGCTTGCTGATGTGGGTCCTTTCCATGCGCCTGGAATTGCTGGGTCCGTTCACTGGCGACAGCATGAAGAAAAAAAACACCAACCAAATGAGATGTGCAAGAAATAAACATCACCCTTTCGGTGCGCTTTTAGGACACATACTGGGGCCAGTTGGGCAAATGATCATGAATTATCTATCATTATCTACTTATTGGTTGGTTTTCATGGAGGTAGCCTTCTATTAATCCACCCAGTTCTTTACAGGACGTCGTCTGGCTATGGGGCCCCATCAGTGTGACCGCTGCGATGTCTGGGTCCCAACTCAGTGATGCCCAAATCGCAAAGCTTCGCATTGAGCTCCGCATCCAGCACGACCTTTGCGCGGCGGAGACGTGGTGCAGATTTCAGATCGACTCATCCAAGTTTTGAGGTGGTCAAGGCTATTTTTTTGTATGTACCCTCTGGTTATTTGTTCCATAGCCATGGTATAGATGGCCCATTTATAGATGGTTTACCTATTTAAAAAATTGTTTTTCTTTTTTTATGGCAATGTTAAATAACCAAATGGTATATTTTGTTGTCTATATGTGTCTATTTTGTCATGTTCATACCTTTGATCTGGTCACCCCATTTCAAGCAGGGGAACATGAGCCATCGCCAGAATTCGCCATGGACTCAGGGGTGCTCAAATAAAATGGCTGTAGGGATGGCATGTCTGTGGGAATGTGCTGCTGGTTGAGTTCCCAAACATTGGAATTGGAAGGATCCGTTCCCATGGGACTACTGTACCATATAACAAGAGCCCCTGGGAACTCCAGTCATCTCATAAAACCAAAGTCAATCAACTTGTCTATTCCAAAGCTCATAGGTTGGGTACGTTGACTTTAAGCCTTTAAATATCGGGTAAGATCGAAATGAGTACAGTATCCCCCCGTTTTTACTAACATAGCTGTTGAAACTAACCATGTTTTAATAGGTCCTCTATAAATGGGCCATTTTCATCCATTTTCCATAGCTATTTGAGTTGGAGACTGCCAGTATCTGTGCAGAGCCCGCAGTCATCCAAGCAGCATTGGCGCTCTTCAAGTCCCGATGGACAAACCTGGCTGCACAGATTTTTTTTTCGCAGAGTTGCGGAGTAAATCCAGATATCCGAGATTATCCGAGACAGTTACTATGAACATAGTTGATATTAGTAGTAACCAATATACAGAGTATAATCCGGATAAATGTTGATTGACTTTCAAGTTAAGTATATCCAATATTGATGAATTGATTGGTGAATTCATATTATGGAGCGATTCGTACAAACGGTGAGCTATACAAAAAATGTCTACTCACTATTGGGGAGTTTCTGTGCGGCAGCGAGGTACATGTATCCGTCCTTGTCAAAGCATCCGTGTGTGTGTGTGTTTTCTGAATCCGAAATGCCGTCCTTTTATATACACTGGTTATGAACGTATCTTCCAATTCCTGGATTGTGATAATCCCATGTATGTACATTATATATATATATATGTATTATAGAATTACATTGTATATGTAAAATATACTGTATAATTTATTACTATATATAGGCTATAGGATGTATTATTATAAAATACAATAATATATCAATAATATATATATATATATCATATATCTGATTATTATTATCATGATTAATATGGTTATTAATTTTATTATCATATCACGTGTATATATATATATATATCTATATGTTTATAGATGTGAACAGATGTGAATGGTGTAACCCCAGATAATCATCAATCATGGGAGTCTTGGGGCATTCTCCCGTGCACATGTCGGGCCAAAAGAGGCCATGGCCATGTCGGGAGGACGGAGGTCGCTGGCCATGTAGAAACCTGGTGCGTCCAGAGCCGCGCCAGTTTATTCATATTCAAAAAATATCTGAACATACGGCAATTATCGGCAATTAAAGCTTAAATGAAGCAACAAACAACAGGAAACAGAATCTTAATGACTGGTTCATCATTAATTGAACACATGGTTTAATCATAGAGGAATACAAATGAAACAACCAACCACCAACGAATTTCAATCTCTGTGGTTCGGAAATGAAAGGAGTAGAATTACCCTCTGTTGACAATCAATTCGTGGGCCTCGTGTTCATCACACTTGTTCTACAAATACTTGGCTTGGGTTTGGTCGGGAGGATATTCATATTCAACACTAAAGGTGAAAACCTTGGGCTTGTTATAGAGACTCACTATTGGTGAATTAGGTTTGTGTGGCACGTCGGGAGCCCTAAGGCTTATAGAGCAAAGCCTGAATGTGAGAGCAATTTCAACGCTATGGCCACACACTTGCTTGATTGTATCAATTATATTTGATATTGTTAATTCTTAATGTTAATCCAATGTTAATTCTACAGCTATCACTAGATTTTATCACTATATAACTATGGTTAATTCTATGTCGCTCCCCGGGCGGGTCCAAACAATGTTGGATCATCCCAAAGAGGACCAGGAAGTTGTCTCTAACCCCCCTAAAAATAGAAGAAATAAGGAAAAACCAGGTAAAATTGCCAAATTTCAGTGGTTCATTCTCGTGGATCCATCACGTTTTATTTTATGTTTTTCATGACTTGCTGAGTGAATTTTAGAATCTTCTGTATTTTTGGATTCAAAATGTTCACAGGACCCCTGGGTGCACTGCCAAAACCAAAAAAAACATCTGGGGCCATCCGGCATGACGCCCTCAGTCATCTGCAGAATCAAGCGAAGCTTTTGGGCCTCCGAGGTTGAGTCCATGGTAACCCCAAGGGATGGGGGGGGATGATCATCATATTTCCCGTTGGAGATCGAATAATCCCAATGAGATCTAAATGGTTGGTGGAATATCGTTGGTCAATAAGTCAATCACCACTCATCATCATTGGATATCATTGGATCATATTATTGGATCATGTTGGATCATATTGGATCTGAATAGTTCTTGGGTCCACGCTCGCAGCCAGTTGTTCGCAGCTGTGATTCTCATTTTTGTTTCTGCCCGGGCTGTCGCCATTCCTTTTGTCTATCCCAAAAAACACATCTGTTTAAGGGCCTTTAAGGGATAATTCATGTAACCATCATTATTGTAGGTCAGTCAGGTTGCGAGGGGTCGTGAGCTGAATCATCCAGAAGAAGCTGTTGGTGAATGGATGATGACCAGGATGAAAGCTTCTAGAGTCTAGATATTAAGATGGTTGAGAACTTTAGAGTTTGTACTGTCAAAAACAAACTGGAGATGTTATGATGTTGTCTTGTTACAACCACTCGTTAACAACTATGTCATGGTCATGTGCATATTGGTGGATTCTCGGGTTTAAACAAATATATTGTATCAGATATCATCATCCCTCAACCAATAATCTACTAAAACACGTACAAAGTACAAACTATTCATAACATATCATCAATAAGATCCATGAAAACTATCCATCCATTTTCTGGAGATGTTCCATTATGATTAAGAGAAACAATTTCCCACATGACTGGGACCTCCAAAAGAATATATAGATTCAATACGTTTTACCATGTGGTCCAGGAGGTGCTTACACAGCAACCTCTAAAAAGATGCCCAAGTGGGCGTGCTATAGTCAATAACGAACCATTAAATGGCTATAGCACCATGGATTCATTAAAATTAAACATACATGTGTATAGTACAATAAACATTATCATTGTGTAGTTAACTATAATGTTCACATGGCGTTAATAAACCCCCCCGCAATAAAGTACGCCAACTCCCGGTTCACAATAATAAAACCACCCCGTAATAAAGTACGCCAACCTTTTTTTCCCGTTTTTTTTTCGTTTTTTTCCCTTTAGTATTCGTTTTCAATTAGGCAATTCATTTGGGAATACATAGGTATATTTTTTTTTGGAGGGAAAGTTCCCTTATGTATTCGTTTTCAATTAGGCAATTCATTTGGGAATACATAAGTTATTTTTTTTGGAGGGAAAGTTCACTTTCTGCATTCGTTTTCAATTAGGCAATTCATTTGGGAATACATAGGTGATTTTTTGTTTGGAGGGAAAGTTCCCTTATGTATTCGTTTTCAATTAGGCAACTCATTTGGGAATACATAGGTGTTTTTTTTTTTGGAAAAGTTCTGGAGTGCAAAAAAATCAACAAGGCTCAAATGGTCGATTTCCTTACTAAACCCTTTCAAAAAATGCCAAAAAACAATCGCGCAAAGGGGGTAGCCTTGAAGTCCCCTGACATCAAAATAATAATGTATGTTTGCACACCCCTAAATAAAGTATTTGGATTTCAGGGTTCTAAAATTTTGGTGGTTAATTAAATTTGTTTCTCAATTCCTTTCCTAGTTGAACCCTTTCTCAAACCCTTTCTGAAGCCCTCAAGACTCTTTGAGCTGGAAGCAGTAAACTCCAAACCCCAAATCTTGCCTGAAAAGTTCTGGAGTGCAAAAAAATCAACAAGGCTCAAATGGTCGATTTCCTTACTAAACCCTTTCAAACAATGCCAAAAAACAATCGCGCAAAGGGGGTAGCCTTGAAGTCCCCTGACATCAAAATAATAATGTATGTTTGCACACCCCTAAATAAAGTATTTGGATTTCAGGGTTCTAAAATTTTGGTGGTTAATTAAATTTGTTTCTCAATTCCTTTCCTAGTTGAACCCTTTCTCAAACCCTTTCTGAAGCCCTCAAGACTCTTTGAGCTGGAAGCAGTAAACTCCAAACTCCAAATCTTGCCTGAAAAGTTCTGGAGTGCAAAAAAATCAACAAGGCTCAAATGGTCGACCCTTTCCTTACTAAACCCTTTCAAGAAAGTTCACTTTATGTATGCGTTTTCAATTAGGCAATTCATTTGTGAATACTAAAGTTCCAAGAAAGTTCACTTTATGCATTCGTTTTCAATTAGGCAATTCATTTGTTAATACTAAAGTTTCCAAGAAAGTTCACTTTATGTATTCGTTTTCAATTAGGCAATTCATTTGTGAATACTAAAGTTCCAAGAAAGTTCACTGTATGTATTCGTTGTCAATTAGGCAATTCATTTGGGAATACATAGGTGATTTTTTGTTTTTTTTGAACAGTTCCCTTTATGTAATCGTTTTCAATTAGGCAATTCATTTGGGAATACATAGGTGTTTTTTGTTTTTTGGAAAGTTCCTTTTATGTAATCGTTTTCAATTAGGCAATTCATTTGGGAATACATACTAATACGTGTTTTTTTTTGGGGGGGGGGAAGTTCCCTTATGTATTCGTTTTCAATTAGGCAATTCATTTGGGAATACATAGATGATTTTTTTTTTGTAAAGTTCCCGTATGTATTCGTTTTCAATTAGGCAATTCATTTGGGAATACATAGGTGATTTTTACGATAGTTGAATGTTTGGCCCTAACTTTATTCTGATGCTCTTAATGTTTGGGGGGGGAGGGGGGGGTTTATTAATACGATGTCAACATTAATGATCATGAAAACTTACTACTATCTCAATTATAGTGATTGACTACAATAATGAATTATATAGATTAATCTCCTGGACCGTCAATGGATCATCCCCTCGACCCGACCCTCGGACCCGAACCGTTCGCCTCCTGGAGCATCACCCGCTTCACGTGAAGTAAGTCGTGAAGTGATCCGCCCGCGGCCAACTGCACCGGCGCTCCATCGCAGGGGCCCAAGATGGCCCAAGGGCCCAAGGGCCCAAGGGAAAGGGAGGTAGTTGGGTGGAAGCTACTGAAGGAAACATGAACATGGAGCTTGGAATATTTCGAAATCACATGAAACACGTTTGACATGTTTCAATCATCAAACACGGCAACACAACTTATTCGTCAATCACGAATAGACAACCAAGATGTATATAACCGTTATAACCAAGTCAAATGGACATAAATAACGCATACGTATTGTTTAAAAAAGGAAACATGAATAATTATAAACTATTAAGATCTATTAAGATCTATGAAGTACTATTAAGTATACAATTTTTAGTTCCATTATGTTCCATTTATCCCATGAATTTCCCATGGAAAATTCCCCGAAAACTCCCCTTGCCGCCTCCGTGACGATGCACAGAAGCGGCATCTCGCACGCGATACCGATGAGTTGGATCAAACGCTCGTGCCTCGAGCGTAGCGGTAGCGTTGTCGCGTTTCTCCCACGTTTTGTTGATGAAAACCTGGGATTTGACAACATGATCACATCATGTGGTACCCTTATAATATACCAAAGGATATTTTCAAAATACAGCAAACAATAAATGTGTCTTTAATTCCAATCACAACACATGATTTCCGGAATTAAGTATCATTATAATATATTATAAATGTATATTAATTATTGTAACCAAAAACGAGAAACCAACTCTTCAAACCAAAACACAGGCAATATAATCAGTGATGATCGTTGGGCTTATCTTAGATATCCACAGCGAAAATGAACAAGTTCAGCTGGGTGTTGTCTTCGTTTGAGTTTTGAAGGAAACATGTATGGTCATGGATCTCTAATGATCTCTATAGAGAGGCCCAAAGGACGCTCTGGATTGCAAACATGGGTCAATAAACTGGCTCCAGACAAAAAAAAAACTAGTGGTGTCGTCCCGAAAACAGTGTTCTATATGTTCTAGTTCTTTGATCAGTTGATCCCTCAGTTTGGCCTCAAAGCCTGGAGGTTCGCAACCTCCTTGTAAAATTCCGCCACATGCTCCTGCGAAAGGGGGAGATTGGCACAAATTGGGTCCACTGGAGATTGGGTTTGGAATAGCGCCATGTGTGGATGCATGTGGATGCCACAAGAAAGTTTTTCCAATGTGGGGATGCACACAGGAGTGTATACATGTGTATACTGATAGAAGACAAACTTGGACAACCCCACAGTTGCATGAAAGAGATGCGTTGCATCCTGAAGTTATACTCTAAGTGGCGGATTCAGGTATGATTCCCCGATCACCAATTTCCTTTGCATCGATGCTAGCCACCTTGATACTCAAATTATCCGCTAAAACATTGCAAGATTTACCAAACATGTTCGGGTTTGTTTCGTGTTTACTAGATATAATTATATAATATTATATACATTGGACTTGTCCAAAACTAGAGGATACCTCAGAATGGCAATTTGAATCAGAAAAAAAACATAATGATCGGCCGTGAGAATTTGAACAGCACTCCATTTTCAGACACGTCCATATATGGTCCCGTCCTCCGTCTCTCCACCCCCCCCCATGGGTTGGGTCCCCAGGTAGTAGCCCCAATTCCCTTCTATTTGCAAGCTATTGGCAGCATTTCTGAGGTCCAGCTTCGTATTTGCTAGGTCTTTGCAGCATTTCTGACTACCAGCCTCGCATTTACTAGGTACATGCTACCTTTTAGGCGACCTACGTAGCACACATACTCCTTCAAAGTACCTACGTGCTACCTATAGTCATACATACATGTGCTATGTATCTACTGTATCTACTTCCTGTTTACTACCTGTGTACTCTGACAACACTACCTCTGTTGAACATATACCGTACCTACCATACATGTCAATGATGCCATGCATACCATACCTATCATATCTATCATACATACCATACATACCATACATATGAAATGTAATTACCACACCTACCATACATACAATAGCATACATACAATAGCAAGCATACATGCCATACATACCATACCTACCTTAGATAGGACATATTCCATACCCATCATAGTAACCATACATACCATACAGACCATACATACTGTCATATCAAACATACCATATCCAACAGACTTACATACCATACCTACCATCCATACAATACCAACCACTCATGCCATACATACCATACCTATCATACATACCAAACATACCATACTTTCCAAACATGCCATACCAGACCGACCATACACACCATACATACCCACCATACCATACCACACCCCCACCACACCACAGGGGGGGGAGGGGGACAGTGCCACACCCCCACCACACCACAGGTGGGGGGAGGGGGAAGATCTCATATGGGACCAGTATATGGGACCCATCCACCACACCACAGGGGGGGGAAGGGGGACAGTGCCACACCCCCACCACACCACAAGGAGGGGAGGGGGAAGATCTCATATGGGACCAGTATATGGGACCCATCCACCACACCACAGGGGGGGGAGTGGGACAGTGCCACACCCCCACCACACCACAGGGGGGGAAGGGGAAGATCTCATATGGGACCAGTATATGGGACCCATCCCATATGGGGGGGGGAGGGGGGGGGTGGCAGGGCCTGGTGCATATATATAGCTATCTTGGCGAACATAGAGTATGGACGTGTTCAGATAATCCTCAGCAAAACTGGAATATGTTTGAACTACGTTAGGCTGACAGAAAAAAAACAATCCCCCACTGTCTGAAAGATGTGCAAATCCCCGTTCGAAACCAAGGGTTCTGTCCGGTGTATTCTATAGGGGGATGTGATTATTAGATTCATCATGATATATCAAGATTTGTCCCCATATCCCATTTTTTAAACTCCATTTGTAGATGACTTCCCCATATCTTGAAAAAAACACGATTCAAGACCATTCATCTCCATTAAATCATTAGAAATCCCATTAAATCCAATAGAAATCCCATATTTTCCCATTAAATCCAATCAAATCCCATTAAATCACCATGGTTGTTGGTTAAGCCACCATTTTTAGTGGTTAAATCACCAGCAAAAACCACCCAAAAAACCAGCGTACCTTGGTCACGCCACCCATGACATGCAGTTTCTTGATGGCCACCTGGGCAGATTTTGGGGCTGAATCTTTGCGGATATATATATATATATACATACATATATATATATATATAATTACATATATATATATATATACACTGTGTATATATATATATACTGTGTGTATATATATAAGCAACAAAAAATTAGGAGATGGCAGGCCTTATATGTATGGTAACTACATCTAGATATGAACAGATTTAAACGGATTTTTGAATATGTGAACTGGTATTTGAGACTACCTCCAGGAAGGTTTCCCTTGGCCCATCTGGCCATTTAAACATACGGACTATTATTTTTTAAACTGTACATTTAAATATACGGATGGAACTGGTGTTTCATACTGCCTCCGGTGCATTGTAGTGTGGCCCGCCCTCCACTTGTTTAAATGTTGTTACCGTATGGATATGCAACTCAAAACAACACTATAATATCTATAATATATATATATATATATGGGTTTGTCTATGTTTCGAAAGCACAAGACATTAAGACCTATGGTTTATCATGTGCCGAATTGTCCCTATTGAAATGGCCAATTGGGGTCATCATCCATTTTCAGACAAACTCATATATCATATGTATAATATATATATAATATATAATATAACATATATATATATATATTACATAACATGTTGTTACCATATATATATATATATTACATAACATGTTACCATCAAATCCTATTCATTTGAAACATCAAAATTATCAAATCCAGACTGGGTCTATCACCTTCTTTAAATTAGCGGTTACCACCAACCAATGTTTTGAAGCCAAAAGCGGACCATCACATGTGCCATGGTCAAAGTCCATCCCATAATGGGAATCCTTACAATGGGAATCCTTACAAAGGGTGTCTTGTATGACTCCATATGAGTCCCTGTTATGGTCCAATATGAGTGTAAAACCCAAGTTTTACCATGGCACGCATGTTCAGTATTGGACCCCAAATAGCCTTCCCTGATCCACTCTTAGTGAGTAGATAGTAGTCAGCCAAGGTATAATTCAAAATAGGAGCACGGCCTTTAGATGGCCGTGTGTTTTTTGATTCATGGGACGTTTTTGTTGATATTGGATGTCCTCGTGCCAATAGGATTTCGTGTTATTCCCCACCTGCCAGGTGAGGGTTGTTAGATTTTATGTCAGTTGCTTCCTCCTCGTCCTCCTCCTCCTCGTCCTCCTCCTTCTCCTCCTCCTCCTCTCCTCTCTTCTCCTCTCCTCTCCTCGTCTCCTCTCCTCGTCTCCTCTCCTCCTGCTCCCTGCCGGACTTCAACCACGACCATCCACGCCCAGTGTGCCCTGCCGGACCTCAACCACAACCATCCACGCCCAGTGTTCCCTGCCGGACCTCAACCGCGAGTATCCGGGCCCAGTGGTCCCTGCCGGACCTGAACCACGACCATCCACGCCCAGTGTTCCCTGCCGGACCTCAACCGCGAGTATCCACGCCAAAAGATATGCCACATAGAGTGCCAGAAGATATGCCAGATAGAATGTTAGAAGATCTGCCAGATAGAATGCCAGAAGGTATGCCAGATAGAATGCCAGATAGAATGTCAGCTAGAATGCCAGAAGATATGCCAGATAAAGTGCCAGAATGTTTGCCAGATAAAATGCCAGCAGATTTGCCAGATAATATGCCAGAAGATATGCTAGATAGAATGCCAGATGGAATGCCAGAAGATTTGCCAGATAATATGCCAGAAGATATGCCAGATAGAATGCCAGATGGAATGCCAGAAGATATGCCAGAACATATGCCAGAAGATATGCCAGAAGATATGCCAGAACATCTGCCAGAAGATATGCCAGAACACAGAAGATATGCCTGCCAGAAGATATGCCAGGTAGAATGCCAGAAGATATGCCAGATAGAATGCCAGATCGAATGCCAGAAAATATGTCAGATAGAATGCCAGAAGATTTGCCAGTAACAAAATGTATAAATGTCATGGTGGGGATCACACGAAGTAAAGTAATTTTAGAGTAAAGGCCGTAAACGTCTCAGTTACGAGAAGAAAAATGAGCACAGTCATTTCGCCTACAAGAAACCTCCATTTTGAATCATTTTGAGTTTTCTGCACATTCCCCACCTAATTGGCTTTGACATTTTTTTCAGCCGTCTTTTGTTCACAAATGTTCGCAGCATATGGAACGTTAATACATGCCCCATCCCACCCCCCACCCCACCCCCCACACACAGCGTAGCATCTACTTCATGTGCAACTGCATATGAACGCTAATACATGCCCCACCCCGCATCCACAACGTCGCATTTACTTAATGTGCAACTGCATATGAACTTTAATACATGCCTCACCCCACATCCACAGCGTAGCATCTACTTCATGTGCAACTGCATATGAACGTTAATAATACATGCCCCAACCCATATCCACAGCCTAGCATCTACTTCGTTGCATATGAACGTTAATACATGCCCCACCCCACATCCACAATGTAGCATCTACTTTATGTGTAACGGCATATGAACGTTAATGCATGCATCTACTTCATGTGCTAATGCATGCCCCAACCCACCCCCAACCCCACCCCCCACACACAGCGTAGCGTCTACTTCACGTGCAACTGCATATGAACGTTAATGCATGCCCCACCCCACCGCCAACCCCACCCCCCACACACAGCGTAGCATCTACTGCATGTGCAACTGCATATGAACGTTAATATATACATGCCCCACCCCACCCCCCAGTCCCCCCCCACCCCCACCCCTACAAAACACCACAAAACACCACGGCCGTCTAAAGGCCGTGGTCCAACTACTATGGGGATGTGAACTAGCCACAATATCATGGGGCTGCGCTAACCGCATATCGATAATCATTGCTCCTGACATGGCAAGTAAACCCATCATCGGTTCGGTAATGTCACCAGTTGCTAGCCAAACCCTGCAACAAGCGAATGTTTCACTGAGGTAATCTGTATGTTCCTCCATCAAGCTGACCAAACAATCAAACCATCAACACTACAGCCCTACGGGTGCACCAAGAGCGAGATACCCAAATCCAATCCACTTATACATTCACTGATTCACAAGGTAACCATAGGTTCTTGGGGACCTATTCATCAGGATCTCAAACCAGGTACGATCGCTCGATGGCTCCTCAAGGTGATATCAAATATCATGTACATGCTGTACATTATAACATATACACAGTTAATGGATATTGTAATTATATGTAATTATACAGTATACGGGCCAAAATGGGCACCCTCAACATAAAAATTGGTGAATAGTCACAAACAACAGAAATCCGCGGGTGGCCCATACCCAATGTCAGGAGCCTCCTTACTGTTCTGCCTCCTATGACCGTGCCTCCTTTGGATAGCCACGCAAAAAGCCGCGATGAACAGAGCCGAAGCCGCCAGAGCCCAACATCTGACAGTGTCATGCTGATTGATTTGGAAGATTGAGAGGAGCATCGATTCGAAATTCGCATGAATTTGGTTTTCATATCACCAACGTGCAACATGAACAACGATATCATTGACATCACATGCTTGCCAGAACAGTGTTGCAATTCTTTGTTAATCTGTGTGAAACACAATTTGGTTTACACATTACACATCATGTCCTAATCAGTTGTCTTTGTTTTGTGCTGCAAGTTCTACAATACAGGATATATATATATATATATGTACAGTATGCACATATATATATAAATATATGTATACTATGTATGTATGTATGTATGTATGTATGTATGTATGTATATATATATATATATACATGTGTTCTTGTCACCCGTCACCGGCTATTTTTATCATCCCTTAGGATATCACCCTCAACGCCTGACCAATCTGTAAATCTGCCAGGCGCAAATGGCCTGTACCATCGGCTGAGCATCCCATGACTGGGTGAACTGGAGGAACTATGATCTGGTTGGTGGTGCAATCAATAACCATCTTGAAAAATGATGGACTTCGTCAATGGGGTTGGGTGGGGTTGGGATGACATCCCATATATGATGGAAAATAAAATGTTCCAAACCACCAACCAGTGATGGCTTCCCAAATTTTTCAAGTCATTAAAACATATTAAAGCATTCTAGTATTGAAACCCATGGTGATCTGAAAAATACCCCCATTTACGCCATCCATTGTTGGGGGGCGAAAACACTTTGACCTATAGGTTTCTCATGTGTCATGGCTGATTCATTGAATACGATTGAACAAATTCCAATGTCAATTACTGGTTGACTCCAAATTTCTTGTTGGCTAGAATGACTGTTTTCATTGGTTGTATCCATTTTTTAATGGTCAAATTGCAATTTTTGATGTTTAAATCATGAAATTTTATTCTGTCATGGTCAAATCGTCTTTTGTGTTGAGTAAGATCCCAATTTTCACAGGTTAATTCCAATGTTTTGATGTTAAACATGTTAAACTACCATTTGTGATTCTCAAATCGCGTGTTTGAATGCTTAAATGCTTATTTCTAATAGATAAAATGCCACTGCGATGTGTTATCCTTCAAAAAAAATGCCGTGAACGCTGTGGCACTGCCCGGCCTGGAGGCAGCACCTGTGGCACCGCTGCGGCGGCCTGCGCCGTCATCGCGGGCACTGGTGGGAGCTGCATGGGCGGATGCCATGGACGCCTGGCAGCGCCAACTCCAAATGTGTGTTGGCTGCGGGTAAAACAATTTGGAAAACCCAATAGAAATGGTAAAAACAATTGTAATCCTCCAAATGTGGTATACTTATTTTAAACGTGGTAATCAATTGTAAACCAATGGTAAACTCTATGGTAAAGCAATGCCATTTGCACCATCCCCCAGTCATCACCATGTTTATAGGTGGTATGTTTACCATTCTCAAATGGGTGGTTTATTATTGCTTCACCCCCATTATATAATTACAGTGACATGATGTGTAGTTGTCATGAACTTTCAATGCTTTAATCATAGTATTAGTAGCTATCATGTAGTTATCATAAATAATATGTGGCTAACATGTAATAATTCACTAACCTCAAAATGGCTGACACAAGGCTATTTGGGGATGATTCCCCTCCTAACCATCATTCATCTATATAATTCATCCATATATGCTAGATACATTTATACACATTTTACACCAAATCCGGAAGTACAGTAAAAGGTTTGTCTCTCTCTCTCTCTCTCTCGCTCTCTATATATATATATATATACACCACAAATATAATGATTAGAAATGATGTATGTATGTATGTATGTATGTATGTTTGTATGCATGCATGCATGCATGCATGCATGTATGTATGTATGTATGTACGTACGCCTGTCTGTCTGTCTGTCTGCCTGCCTGGCTGTCTGTCTGCATCTCTGCCTGTCTGCCTGTCTGCCTGTCTGCCTGTCTGCCTGTCTGCCTGTCTGCCTGTCTGCCTGTCTGCCTGTCTGCCTGTCTCCCTTTCTGCCTGTCTGCCTGTCTGCCTGTCTGCCTGTCTGCCTGTCTGCCTGCTGTCTGTCTGTCTGCCTGTCTGCCTGTCTGCCTGTGCCTGTCTGCCTGTCTGCCTGTCTGCCTGTCTGCCTGTCTGCCTGTCTGCCTGTCTGCCTGTGCCTGCCTGTCTGTCTTGTCTGCCTGTCTGCCTGTCTGCCTGTCTGCCTGTCTGCCTGTCTGCCTGTCTGCCTGTCTGCCTGTCTGCCTGTCTGCCTGCCTGCCTGCCTGCCTGCCTGCCTCTCTCTGTCTGTCTGTCTGTCTGTCTGTCTGTCTGTCTGTCTGTCTGTCTGTGTGCACGCATGCACGGATGCACGGATGCACGGATGCATATGCACGTGTGGACGAATGGACGTATGGACGTATGGGCGTATGTACGTACGTATGCATGCATGCATGCATGCATGCATGTATGAATGTATACACACCTGATCACATGTAACTCTATAACATACAAATAATTCTACATGGGTTCATTTTGTACAATGGCTTTGGCTAGCGGCTAGCAAAATCACAGTCGTATCCCTTTCAACCAAAAGGTCAGGAGACATATGGCTATGGCTCAAGAGTATTGACCCTCCAATCCAAAACATGACAAGCCACAAGGGTATCTTATTTGGGTCGCCATCTGTACGAGTAGTGGAGCTGAGCTCCCAACACCACGGCTTGTTGCACCATCGAAGGTCCGCCTAGAGGTATTGGTTCCGGGTTTTGATTTGGGGTCATGGCTACTCTTCTCATATCATGAAATATGCAAAACATTGTTCTATATAATGGGATCAAATAGGCACATGGTGATACAGCATGGGGTTTGTGGTGGCATTGTTTTTAGATATATACATCCAAATATGGTTGTATAGCATAAGACAAGAGCTAATGGTCCTGTGACAAAAATTGTTCATCTGCATCAGCTGAAAACATGTATCCTGTTCCCTTCACTTCATTCGCAACTTGGCAATTCGTCAACCAGGAGCAAACATCTTCAGATCAACAACCATTTAAAAACATATAAACACCATTTCTATCACCAACTGTGGCTATGGATCACCATCCATAAACACATACAAACACCATGTATTTTTCGGTTTGTGGTTGTATGAAGTTGTCATCATGGAATTTCACATGCTATCCTGTAATTATCCGATACTTTCAGTAGCTGGAGAACAATATTGTAATCATCCGACTATGGGCAACAATCCAGCTTGGTTGAAATGTCACATCTTCTGTTAGTGCTAAATATATCTATATATTATAAGATATAAACAACATCACCCTGTCATTGTAATTATTCAATATCATTACTGTCGCTATAGTATATGAGAATATCCGATAATGTTCCCAAAAGTATCAACATGTATTATGAAACCATGTAATACCTCATATATATATATATATACATACATATATAACTAAAAACACATCCATATATAATAATAACAATAATAATAATACTAATAATAATACTAATAAACATAGGAACAATAATAATAATACTAATAATAAGAATAATCCTAATTGTAATAATCATAATAGTAATAGTAATAATAATTATTCTTATTATTCATAACAATAACAACAATAATATATATATATATAATGTATACATATGTTATGGTATTATGTCATATTATATCACAACAAAAGCTCGGATTTCATATGGTCTCATTTGAGCTGAACAAAACGGTATGTAAATCCTGATCCCAAAAGCAAATCATGTGATTTCCAAGCGGCGGTCTTCATATTTATGTCTCGGCGCTTGATTCTGAACTTTTTGAACTAGAGCTTGTTTAATGCTACATCAGAGCTGCTTTCAGCTACATCATATCCGTAGAGAAAGTTTCGTTCAGCTGTTTTTTTCAGGGAACGGCATCTTTTTCACAATCCCATGGCGGGGCCATATTGAAACATGGCGTAAAAAATGACAGTGTTACTGGGAAAATTAACCCATGTGTGGAACAGATTGCTATCAGGTCAATGACTTGGAACGCAGCGCACATGGGATGAATGGTCTGCGGTCTGTGGGTTTTTGTGGACAATTGGTCATTCTGATTGAAATCCTGATGTCGTTCAGAGGTCGTTCTGAGGTCGTTTGGGAGCTGAGAAAACTGGCTAAATAACGACCCTTGAATACACAGTAATTATACAATCTGAAAATCAGATCCCTGTCTGAATTCCCCGGAACGGGTAGGGTCCTCTGTGTTTCTAGTGGGCATGCACTTCTGATTCCTTATAAAATGGTCCTGTCTCCAAACATTTTTTGTGCACGTGCATTGGTGGCACAGCACGGGGAAGAGTCTCGGGCTCGTAAAGACATGGTTCTAGAGGGAAACTGCTCAGGCTAGGGTCTCGTTGCAGAGATTACAAAGACGGTGCCAGATGCAATTTGCCAACCCCAAAAACTGCATTTAGGGTGGTTCCGGGTGTAATTTGGCTGCTGATTTGTTCTAAATGCATCTAGACCTGTAGACATATGTAGATATATACTTATATGTATGTATATATATATATATAAATATATATATATATACATACGTATATTGAGGAGGTCGTTCCAATGTCGTTCTGGATGTCGTTCAGAGGGTCGTTCCCCAACTAACTGGCACATTCCAAAATCACCAAAAACATCAGAAATAGCTGCGGGAATCCACCTGGAATTCTGAACGAAGGATCGCACCCGCTAAACCCATTGTCCGAAACCCGCTTCCCGTCCCCACCTGGCCCTGGCGGCCCTGGCGGCCCTGGCGCCTCCGATGGTGAAAAAGGTGGGCTTAATAGATATATTATAGTTATAATAGTTGATCATAGTTACTGCTCAATCATAGTAAATATGTTGGTGAATGATGATGATGATGATGATGATGATGATCATGGGTATTTGTTTGTCCTATATATTGATCAATATTGACTATCATCACATGTGTCATGATCATCGACGGGATTGATCCTCATTTAGTTCGCTGATTTCCACCGAACAATTTCCATCCTTTTCCTCGGGGGTGTTCCTCTTTTAAACGTTATCAGTAGGATTTTGCCAACGTTTAATTTTTTGGGGGGTCTTGCTATAATTGAAGATCATAACTGGGATATACCCCCAAAATAACTGGGGTAATTGGTATGAATTATAGCGGTTATAACCCAGTTATAATTTAGAATGGGTGTACGGAGATAGAACATGATAGAACCCAGTTTTGCAATGGACTAAAAGGCAGGGGATAAAACATGGGTATTGACCAGTTAACATATATGGCTCATCTAAGCAGCTAGACCCTGAACGCATCCCGGTCTCGTTGAGTGTCAAGGGGACAACCTCCAAGCAACTGAGACTGGCAAACAATCAGTGCAGGCTACATGAGGAGCCCCCAGTTAGTTTATTGATCATCCCAAGAAAAATATATCATATATCCATGCATAAATCCCAGCTGACCTAGTTATAAAGCATCCTACTGTACCTAGGAGGTTACTTCCTGTAATTACCTGTGAAAATTGCTGCTCAAGTCACCGTATCCCCAAAAGTAACACCCCGAACAATGGGGGTTTTCATAAGCCCCGGCTTGATGACGCTTCAACCCAAAAACATGTTGACCTTGAGGAGGTAACGTAAGCCGCGTAACCCCAAACTTCCACGAAAACACACCCTTCAAACAGTTGAGACTGACATAGACGGACCTCATGAATTTGGGAAACGTCATGTGAGCGTGGCATTCCCCACCTGCCGCAAGTGCAGGGACTCTCGCAGCACTGTCTTCTCAACTCCTGAGAGCAGATTCAGCAACAGAACGTGGGTTTTCCCTGCTTTAAATTGACAACATATTGATAATATATGATAATATTGATGTAGAATGATGTAGAATGACAATGAATCATATACCCTCTGGTAAACTACAGTAACATAACTATTCATAACTATGGAAAATCACCATTTTTAATGGGAAAATCCACTATAAATGGCAATTTTCAATAGCTATGATAATGTGCATGTGTCTTTCTCGAATCATAATCACCCAGGTTCTTGGAGCACCACAATGGCTATGATATCACCATCACGGGGATCTAGCTGGAGCAATGACCACTAGACAGGATGACTTTGGACCGATAAAATCAACATGCCAGAGATGTTGCTTTAATCTAATCCAAAAAACTCTTGGAGTACAGTAATCCGCGTAAAATATCGTAAAACTACGTATCTCAAACTATCTCAAACTACCCTTCACCAAAGCTTCGTTCTAACCATAGTTTGACGGTGAATTCACCATATCCTGTTGGTCAAAGCCCCCATGATAAGTAACTAGCCATATCCTCAACTGATTGGTGGAAGACACCAACAGAAATCATCCACCAAGTTCCCTGACGTTCGCCGTCCACCACATAATCCACCTGCCAATGAAAGGATTACGCGAGTGACCCCAGACTAAAGAAGATGTCTGCGGTATACTGTCTGCATATTGAGACATATACGCTACTTTGCATTTACGATCATTTACAAATTGTTAGATCTCCATGTGTATATATGTTTGCATAGTTGTTTATTGTATTTATTTCTTGTATTTGTTTATATATGTTTATATGTTTTTATGTATTTATGTATATATATATATATATACATATAATATAATATGTACACATACCAATGTATATTAAATGGTTTCTGATGAAAATTCTTTGGAATTGTCCAAACATGGGGTACCCCCCCCCCCCCAATTCCTGCATTATCATCAACAACGGCAATTCTGGGGGCCCATACCGCAATCTCACCCAAATATGATAGTGCGATTCATATCCCTCACAATATCCCAGATGAATATATGTAAATCCCGGCTTTTGATGGTTAAATGACTGCTTTGTCGTGTCCCATAGTTTCAATCTAATGCTGAATATCCTATTTGATCCATAGCAAACTCTCCCTGACTCGGCACCTTTAAGCGTTCGGCATTGGCATCGATAATCTTGCCCAATGTCCAACATCCTGCGGACAGAAGTAATGTATGGTCGAGAGATGTCGAGAGACCTTCAACTGGCAGCTTGGGAAAAAAACAAAACAGGGAAAACTACCTGTACCCATAATATCCCATGATTCAAAGTGGATGTTGAAACTGCCCATATTTGAAGACTCAGTCTCTGTTCCCAATTCTCCTGTGCTCATTATAGATCTACCTTTTCACTGATCTGGTTGGGTCAATATATATTCACATAGTTCATCGATTCATACTGAAAGTGTCCCCACTTGATCTTTCTTGGTTAAACCCCATTTTCATGACTTAAATCCCCCAATTTGCTGCTTCAATCACATTTTGTTGTGGTTAAATCATGATGAATCGAGATTTTTCATGGTTAAACCACGGTCAAATCATGTTAAATTCACATTTTTTTCCATGATGAAATCTCGGTTTCTACTGGTTGGGTCACCATGTTTGATGGCGAAATCCCTACCTTTCCAGGCCCCCCAAATGGCCTCCGCTGGAGCTCCAAATCGACAGTTGGGCGCCCGAGTCAAGGTCCTTCCTCCAAGGCCTCAGTGTGACAGCAACACAACCCCAGAACCATCTTCTCCCAGCGCGCTCTGCAAAGAGGTTATATTTCATTTAGTGTGAATATATACACATAGAGATTCTGATATCTATATAGATATATATTATAATACAGTGTATATATATAATCCTCATTGACTTTGGGGGGGTCACTCAAGTGACCCCATTCTTTAGACAGAAAATCTCTGACCCAGTCAAAAGCCTAGAAAATGAAAAGACCAAGTAAAATTGGACAATTTTTTTGATTGGGCAATTCATTTTCTAGAGGGATGTATGGATGTTTTGGACATGTATGTTTTTAAACAAACAGGTACATGAGAGTACAATTCACCACTTTGGGTCTAGAAAATGACTTGTAATGCCATCATAAGAACAATAAAACAATGTTCCCCTAAAAAAATGGTTTCAAAAATGGAGGACCAGAAATGAACAATGCTTTCTCTAGAAAATGAATTGTGCAATCCTTACTAAGACAGGTAATCCATATTCCCCAGGAATCACCAAAAAAACAGTCATTTAACCCAAATTTAGTGCCAAAAATTTAATCCAAAAAATCAGCCTGCAATCAGCGCCAACAAAGCGAGTGATTTTTTTCTCTCCCAAAATTTTCCAGGATTGGTTGATCAAGATTGATCAAGGTCTCTACGTTTGTCAAGTCCATGAAGAACTTGAATTTCAACGAATGATTTGGGCTGACCACATATTTATCCCTATTGGCATTTCAGGGTGAACTCAAGTGACCCTCATTTTCTCGCCAGAAAAATTCTGACCCAATCAAAAGCCTAGAAAATGAAAAAAACAGGTAAAATTGGACGTTTTATTTGATTGGACTATTCATTTTCTACAGGGGTGCATGGATGTTTTGGACATGCATTTTTTAAACAAACAGATGCATGAGAGTACAATTCACCACTTTGGGTCTAGAAAATGACCTGTAATGCCATCATAAGAACAAAAAAATGTTCCCTAAAAAAATGGTTTCAAAAATGGAGGACCAAAAATGAACAATGCTTTCTTTAGAAAATGAATTGTGCAATCCTTGCCAAGGCGGTAATCCATATTCCCCAGGAATCACCAAAAAAACAGTTATTTAACACAAATTTAGTGCCAAAAATTTAATCCAAAAATTCAGCCTGCAATCCCGCGCCAACAAAGCGAGTGATTTTTTTTGTCTCCCAAAATTTTCCAGGATTGGTTGATCAAGATTGAGCAAGGTCTGTAGTTTTGTCAAGTCCATGAAGAACTTGAATTTCAACGAATGATTTGGGCTGACCACATATTTATCCCTATTGACATTTCAGGGTGAACTCAAGTGACCCTCATTTTCTTGCCAGAAAAGTTCTGACCCAATCAAAAGCCTAGAAAATGAAAAAAACAGGTAAAATTGGACGTTTTATTTGATTGGACTATTCATTTTCTACAGGGGTGCATGGATGTTTTGGACATGCATTTTTTAAACAAACAGATGCATGAGAGTACAATTCACCACTTTGGGTCTAGAAAATGACCTGTAATGCCATCATAAGAACAATAAAAACTGTTCCCTAAAAATCCCTAAAAAAATGTTTCAAAAATGGAGGACCAAAAATAAACAATGTTTTCTCTAGAAAACGAATTGTGTAATCCTTGCCAAACCAGGTAATCCATATTCCCCAGGAATCACCAGAAAACATCAAATTGAGTCATTTCTGCCACCAAAAAATCCAGAAACTGACCTGTAATCGAATGCCATCGTAAGTGATGTATTCCTCTGCCCAAAACTTGTTGAAGATTGGTTGATAAAAACAAGGTTGGCCAAGGTCTCTACATTTTTTTTGGTTCAACATGTGTGTTGCCATGTCTTGCCAAATGTTTCAAGAAAATGCAGCTGTTAAACAACATTTTTCTACAAAATGATTCAATATGCCTTGGTAAAAAAAAACCTTGCCATTTGGGGGGTAGCTCAAATGATCCTCATGTGCGAGACAAATTAACACAACAGTCACAAGTCACAAGCCTGGAAAACGAGAAACAAACGATAAAGATCGATGTTCTTAGGGGCCTGTTCTAATCATTTTCTAGAAATGTTTATGCCTGTTCTACACGTTCAAATTTTCAAGAAAATAGGCACATGGAAGTGCAACTCATCATCAACTCACGACTTGTTCTCTAGAAAATATCAGGAATAGCATGAAGCTGCACCAGTCAAAAAACCAAAGAAATGTGTGCCAAAATCCAAGACCCAAAATAAATCATGTTTTCCCTAGAAAATGAATTGCCTAACCCTTCCTGAAACCGGCACCCTATATTCCCCAGGGAACCCCAGAAAACCTCAAATTAGTCCCCCAGGAACTAAAAATCCACTTCAAAAAAACATGATCCAAGGAATCCCCCCAAACAATGATGTCATCGACCCTTTCATGTTCAGGCATTTTCTAGACAAAAATTAAATGAGCCAAGGGTTTCCCAAAATACTAATGTCTCTGTTTGGCTTACACTTCATTCAAACAATATTGCACATTGGCAGCGGCACTTCAATATTTTGGCACTTTCGAGTGCACCCTGAAGTTCCGTCTGCACAATTTTGGAATAGAAAGTTCAAAAAAAAACATATCATCACATGACATTTCAACAAAATCTCGATAAATTATGGTCAATTTATATCTGTTTCCTGGATACCCGAAATCGTCTAGAAAACGCATGGCGCAATCAATTTGGCTCTTGATATCAATCTAGCAACTGTCTAGAAAATAACTTGATATGGAAGGATGAACTTGGGCCTGGGTATGGGTTTTTTTAAGCATTCCCCAGGAATGACCCAGGAAGCATTCGGACAAGAGTTCGATTGTTTTTTTTTCTTCCAGCCCTTATCTCTCTAGAAAATGGTCAGGCACAGTTACATATAAAATTATTAAGGACCTTTTCGAACTTCCCCAGGAAATGTGGGAAAATTGACTGGGCGGGCAGTTTCTAGCTAGAGAATGGGTGAACTTGAGTTCACCCATGCTCTTCTGGGAAATTTCAATGAGGATATTCTTTCTGTTTGGCTCGTGCCTCACTGAAAAGATATCTTTTCTTGGCACTTCAAAATTTTTGGCACACTTGACTGAATCCTGAAGTTCATTCTTCACACTTTTGGAATAGAACATTGAAACGCATCTTGTCACATTTCAGAAAAACCTAGATGAATTTGGATCTATTTTGTGATGCTTTGGGGCGCCCCAATAGAGGTCTAGAAAATGCATTGCACAATCAATTTGTCTCTTGATATCAATCTAGCAGCTGTCTAGAAAATAACTTGATATGGAAGGATGAACTTGGGCCTGGGTATGGGTTTTTTTAAGCATTCCCCAGGAATGACCCAGGAAGCATTCGGACAAGAGTTCGATTGTTTTTTTTTTCTTCCAGCCCTTATCTCTCTAGAAAATGGTCAGGCACAGTTACATATAAAATTATTAAGGACCTTTTCGAACTTCCCCAGGAAATGTGGGAAAATTGACTGGGCGGGCAGTTTCTAGCTAGAGAATGGGTGAACTTGAGTTCACCCATGCTCTTCTGGGAAATTTCAATGAGGATATTTTTTCTGTTTGGCTCGTGCCTCACTGAAAAGATATCTTTTCTTGGCACTTCAAAATTTTTGGCACACTTGACTGAATCCTGAAGTTCATTCTTCACACTTTTGGAATAGAACATTGAAACGCATCTTGTCACATTTCAGAAAAACCTAGATGAATTTGGATCTATTTTGTGATGCTTTGGGGCGCCCCAATAGAGGTCTAGAAAATGCATTGCACAATCAATTTGTCTCTTGATATCAATCTAGCAGCTGTCTAGAAAATGACTTGATATGGAAGGATGAACTTGGCCCTGGGCATGGGGCTTTTTAAGCATTCCCCAGGAATGACCCAGGAAGCATTCGGACAAGAGTTCGATTGATTTTATTTTTTTTTCAGCCCTTATCTATCCTTATCTCTCTAGAAAATGGTCAGATACATTTACATATAAAATCATGAAGGACCTTTCGGACTTTCCCCGGGAAATGTAGGGAAAATGACTGTTCAAGCATTTTCTGTCTAAAGAATGGGGTCACTTGAGTGACCCCATTCTCTATAGGGAAATTTCCATGGGGATTATATATATACACAATTATATAATTATACACATATGCAGTTTTACATTATCATATCTATCACCTATCTCTATCGATCACATATTTATTAGTATGTAAGTATGCAAATGTGTAAGTATGTAAGCATGCAAGATGAAAGTATGTAAGTATGTAAGTACGTAAGCATGTAAGTATGTAAGTATGTAAGATTGTAAGTATGTAAGTATGGAAGAATGGAATTATGGAACATGTAAGAATGATAGAATGTAAGTATGTAAGCAAGTATGAAAGTATGTAAGTAAGAAAGTAAGAAAGTATGTATGCATGCATGCATGCAAATACTGGTAATTAGTATAACATTGGGATTCCGTCCTGTGGATCTAAGAATGGGATAGAGCTGGAACAAATATGTTGGAGGGTGAGATTGTCAAGAACAAATTCATATCTAAGTCATTCTAAGTCTAAGTAGCGAAAGTGGGGATGGGATACTGGTAGAGTTGAAAGTGTTCGACGTTCGGAACCTGCAAAACCACCAAAGTTCGTCAGGAAGGAAGCCACGGTGGGGCCACAATTTTCTGCGAAACACGGATAAACACCCATACAAGCAAAAGACTTGCAGGGGACGTCGCTCACAAAAAATGCGATCCGATTGGCATTGCTGGGGATTTCACCAAGAATGGGAACTTGACCAACACAAAACGATATCCAAGTAGCGAAGTTGACGATATCCAAGCAGCAAAATTGGGAATGCAAACAATGCAACCAGCAGAGAAATGGACTTCCAAACCAACCAAGTGCAACATGGGGACTGGCTCGTCAGTGTTTCTGATCTGGTGCTTTCACCCCAAAACCATTTCGGTGGCGGGTCCTCAAATGGGGTCCCTTTTCATTGGTTTCCCTTGGTGAAACAGGCAAAAACATCAATAACTTGAATGACTTGGATTGCTTTCCTCACAAAATAATAACTTAAGGATAATAACTTGATGTATAACTTGCCCAATCTCCTGTGAAAAAAAGTGGGCTTCCCGACTCAGTGGCTGGAGTGGCTGGTGGCTCAACAGCACTAGGAGTGCTCGGACTGCCCATGGCATGGTATCGATATCTTGGGCTTTGCTCACAACCTCTGTAAGAGAATGAAGATCTGGGTGCTGAAAATTATTTGCCCGATCTTGGAATGGTTCAATACACCGTGACAACATGATGACTTGTTATTGCTTTGTGTATATGTGTCATTTTTGAAAACAACCAAACATAGCAAACCATACCAAACCATATTGAACCTACAGATTGTGGCCAATCTGGCACTGCATGGATTGTCCACCTGCATCCATCTTGGAACCTCACATTTTCTGCTGTCATGGTCTCTTCAAGATTCGAAAAACTGAGAATTCCATCCAGAGGATCTGCTGGTCTTTGGTCGGGCAGCCGCTTGGTGTTCCAACTTTTGGACTACCCCACTGCCGATTCTCAGTATCTACTTCCTCTGGTAAGAGTGTAGACAATTCTGCCAAAGGATGCCAAAAGCGAAGGCTAGAACATTTCGTTGCTGCAATCCAAGCAAACTCATGCCTCTGTTCAAGTCTTCAAGGCAATAAATTAATAAATAGTGCGAACCCTATGAAAGATTGTGTATGGTCAAACTGCCGTTCTGTTTCATCAAGAAAAGTGGAAATCTGTCCCCTCCTGCTGTCAGTGTGCCAGGCATTTCCTTGCCACCACTCAATCGGCTGCTAATCCAAGCCGGCCCGTGCTCCGCACCTTTTGTTGGCCGCTGCTGCTATTGTTTCTGACACAGGGTCAGAGAGTTCTATATATCCAATCTATATCCCACGCTGACCCGGAAGCATCTGGATAATCTAAAACAAATCCTGGCCAAGATTCAATATGATTCATTTTAAAGATTTGAATGCCTAGCCAGTTGCTCCACATCATCGTGAGGGTCGTCTGAAACTGTTAGAATCTGCTAGAAATCATCCAGATGAATCCATGGCTGGGCAGTGCCCTTCCAAGCCTTGGGTCATCCAGGGCAGGGATCTTCACAATTTTTCGGCAGCTATTTGGGGTGCAGTTGGGGTGATTTATGGAGAGAACCATGGTAATTACCTCCCAGAAAGTTGAAATATGGGGCTCTAACATCCTCTGTGGTTATGTATCCATATATATCCAATTTTGATTGGAACTGCACTGACTGCACCTCCAAGTTGGCCAAAACCAGGCTGCGGAGGCTCAATCCACGGGGAGGCTAAAGCCCATCTCGCTGCGGCGATTTGCCGGACATCATGTCGGATCTCACTTTTCAGCACGAGCTCCGTTTCGTTGTCACTAATGTTGCACCATGTTTTTTGGGGCCGCGCAGGCCATCCATGGCCATCCGATCATCAGGACATCGAGTCGCCGGAAAGCGAGGCCATCAGCACCACTTCGGATCGCTGCTTCCAGCTGCTGCAGTGATTCGGATCTCAGGATTCCCATGGATCGCCCAGCAAGCTCCGCTGCGCAGCGTAACTTTGTTCCAACAGCCCATTGGCCAGGTCCAAATCGAAGAAGCGCGAACACAACTTCCAACAAATCTCCTGCGCTTGTCACAAAACCGGTCAGAAAATCACTGGTCACCCTTTTTAATGAAGAAAATAGATATTGAAAAATGTCTCTATAATATATATATATATATATTATAATTACATTACATTACATTTCATTGCATTGCATTACATTACATTACATTTCATTGCATTGCAATGCATTACATTTCATTGCATTGCATTACATTACATTACATTACATACATTATATATGTACAATATATAAATATACATTGTACTATCACTAGTAAGTTCCGAAAAGGTCATGCTTGTGCAAACCTCTGCTGACGGTCACTCTCTCCTGACGCTGCTTGCCTTAGCGGCTTGGACGACTTTTCGGGCATTTAAGGAGGCATCATGATGCATTGGGTGTGTCTGAAAATGGGATATGGTATACCTACCCCCAAGTTATGGCCATTTTCATAGGGAACATGATGATGAATCCATTTTGAAGGGGCGGATTCACCTATCGTGAATGGTTCTCTCTTTCAAGTTCATTAGTGGAGGTATCAAGATCATCAACATGACCAACGTTGAGACGTATGTACGCATACCTTCTGTCATGAAGTGTTCATGGTGATGTGGAAGGTTGGGCCCTCATCAATACATGCAATGCAGAAGCTCTTGGGGCTTTCAGTTGCTTTTGCAGCTCAAGCAGGGCAACACAACGTCTTGAAATCATGAGATGATACGGACCATGAAATGATACGAACCCAAAGGGCTCGGCACTTTCATGATCTTACGATGTCATCCCAATAAACTTCCGTGCTCCTGATGCCAAATTTCTCTTGCTAACCCCGAACTTCCCACTAGCCTTCAAAGACCGGATCCAAACCAGAAGAAAAACTACTGTAAAGCAAATCTTATGTCTGAATACTTATGACTCAAACTCCTGTTACCAATCTTTCCAACCTGTTAAAAATCCCAGTCACATCCTCTGCGACTTTGGTGAATGCCTGCCAGTGTTCTTGTGGTCGTTGACATGGCCAAGCGAGACGTGAAGGCCTTAGTGTTGGGCCCAGCTGGAGAATTCACCAAGGTGTTTTTTTTAGACTTCAACCATCAAAAATCATCAACCCTTTGAAGATTGTCTATCAAATGGTGGATACCCATCTTATGGTGAGATTAAACAACTTGCCTGGATGTTTCGGAATTAAATCATTGATGAGATGCTTTATCATGACGTTCTGGAATGTTCTGCAAACCGCTGTTCTCTCCTGCTATGAACCCCCAAAATGCCAGCTTCTCCTGAATCTGTGTGTGCTCGTGTCACTCGTGTCTGTCAGGCTGTTAGGCCTTGCTGAAGATGCACACTCTCCGTGTGCATCAAACCGGAATTCCGACATTTTCTTAGTCTCAACAAACAAAACATATTAAAAGCTCACCCCTAGTGGATCAAAGTTAGTCAATACAAAAAAAAATAACATCGACAAATCGACGAATATGATTTATAATATCATGTACGAACGCTCTACCCAGTACCCTCTGGTAAATTGACACAACTGTGGCAAATCGCAATGGCAAAAGTATTATAAACTGGTAAATCATCTATTCCATGGCCATGGCGGTTTACTGGAGGGTAAATCGCCATTAAACAGGCATTTTGTATCACCATATCCCCCATTTTCCAATTTTTAACCGTTAATAGTTGGTATATACCTGATAAATTCAAATATGGAAAAACGATGAAAAACGGTGGTAATGATGATTTCATGGGACATCAAATGATGGTTTAATGGCGATTTCATGGGATTTACCTTCCAGTCAACCACCATTTTAGCACTAAATCATCCATTTATAGATGGATTTTCCATTATAGACCAACCAGCTATTGGGGATCCCCTATTTATGGAAACTTCCATATATCTGGCTAAATTATCATATTTCACTAACCTGAATTAAAGCCATTTGGGGTTGATTTCCCTTATAAACCATGATTCCAGTGAGGTCGCAGTGAAGTCGTTACAGTAGATATATCATCATCGAAGGAAGTTTAGAAGTCAAACTTCCGACAATATGGACAGATGAAAAGCAGAGATGGGAAGAGTCAGAGAAGAGAAGAGAAGAGAATAAGACAGAATATCAAAAAGAGAAAGTCTGCGAAGAGAGAAGATCCAGGTGCGTGAAAAGGTAGGAAAGTCCCGAAAACGTGTGTTTTTCCAGAAAAGTAGGCTCGATGTACAAAACACACCAGGTCCGGAGCACTTTGGAAGTTGAGATGTCGAAAAAGTGCACGCCGTTGTGACACGAAGCACATTTCGACGTCAAAATGTACAAAACACACCATGTTCGGACCACTTTTGGAAGTTGAGATGTCGAAAAAGTGCACGCCGTTGTGACACGAAGCACATTTCGACGTCAAAATGTACAAAACACACCATGTTCGGACCACTTTTGGAAGTTGAGATGTCGAAAAAGTGCACGCCGTTGTGGCGCGAAGCACATTTCGACGTCAAAATGTACAAAACACACCATGTTCGGACCACTTTTGGAAGTTGAGATGTCGAAAAAGTGCACGCCGTTGTGGTGCGAAGCACAATTCGAAGTCAAAATGTTAAAAGCACCACATGTTCGCGCCACTTTTGGACGATCAGATCTCGTTTTGCGTGGCAGGCGCAAGGGGTTGTGCACCTTGTCAAAAATATGTTTTCTAGCATGTCCCAAAAACGATGGCAGGCGTGGGACATTTGAAGAGGATCTGGAAACATGCATTTTCCATGGCCGGCGCAGTACAAGAGACATGTTCATCAGAGCTGTTAGTAGGTCCGGGCGCTGATTTCCTGAGAAGGGTTGCATTTTGGAGCCTCCGATCTTCAGGTTTGCTGAGATGATTTTGCGTGACAGGTGCAGCACTTCGTATGACCTGGCATCACTTTTTCGTGGTAGGCGCAGTAGTTTGGACAGATGGACTGAAAAATAGTATAACGCATTGGTACGAGGCCGTCAGCTCTGCACTCAACTTTCCATTTTTGAATTCTTTTGTTTTTGATGTTGTCAACTTCGAAAAATGAGGAAGTCTCGCAGAATTGTTTCGTTTTTGATGTTGTCAAGCTCAAAAATTGAGGAAGTCTCGCAGAATTGCTGCGTTTTTGATGTTGTCAAGTTCAAAAACTGAGGAAGTCTCCCAGAATAGCTTCGTTTTCAAGCTTGCAGATAGACAGATAGATAAAGAGACAACTACAACTGCAACTAGAACTACAAGTACCACTACACTACACTACTACTACAAGTACAAATATATTACGCTACATTACACAACACTAATTACACTACGCTACACTAATTACATCTAATTACGCTACACTACACAAATTACACAACAACTACTACAACAGCAACTACTACTACTACTACTACCACCACCACCACCACAGCTGCTGCTACTACTACTACTACTACTACTACTACTACTCCTACTACCACTACTACCACTACTACCACTACTACCGCCACAGCTGCTACTACTACTACTACTACTACTACTACTACTACTACCGCCACAGCTGCTGCTACTACTACTACCACCACCACCACTACCACCACTACCACCACCACAGCTACAACTACAATTGCAGCTACACTACATTACACTACAAAACACTAATTATTCTGCAGTACATGACAGCTACAAATACATCTACAACTACAACTACACTACATTACCCACATTACACAACACTACACTACACTAATTACATTACATTACGCTACAACTGCAACTACCACTACATTGCACTACGCGACACTACAACTACAACTACACTACTTTACATTTTACACTACCATACACTAGACTACACTACACTATACCACGCTACAGCACACAACACTACAGTACAGTACAATACACTACACTAATTACACCACACCAAAACTACAACTGCAACTACACTACACTAATTACACTACTTTACAACTACAACTTAAAACTACAACTCCACTACACTACAACTACAACTACACCTACAACCACAACTACAACTGCACTACACCACACTACATCCAGCAGTTGTGGTGAGGTGACCACTGCAACCATTGCAGCCACTCCAGAAAACACAACTCCAACCACCTTTCGGTCCATCAGTGGATTCGCTCTGCCATCCGTGATTCGCAACAACCAACCTCTCCTATAGGTTTACTATTTTTGAAACTTCCGCCACCGCCTTGTGCGGTACTACTGGTATATCACTTTATCATAAAACCAAGCCGCCGGCATCACTTCCGCCACTGCCAGCTGATCCACCGTGCCGAAGAATTCTTCGCCGCGATCGACGGAAGCGGCTGCCATGAGGCGCTCGACCCAGACCGAAGAGCTCCAGCAGTTCACGGCACGGAGGCACCTGCCAAAGGTGGCAACATCTGAGAAATAACTAACCATATAGTTTAACGTATAACCATAGTTTAACCATAATCACTTAAGTATAACATGTGAGTTTCCTGGGATATGTCATATATGGAACAAATGATGGATTAAGCCGTTAAACCTCAATTCAACCATATTTTACCAAGGAATAGGTGGGATATGATTGGAAATCCTTTCTATCCACATATGATTGGAAATCCTTTCCTAAGCACAAGAGATGATCGAGATTTTTCTTCGTCTGGAATGTTGCGGTAAAACCCTGAAACTATGGAATTATCATGAATTATCATGCATTGTCATCTTCATTTCATCTTCCCTATCCCAATATATCCAATTGCATTTCGGGGTGTGCCGCATTTTCAGACACATCCATCTGGGGAATGTGGCTCTGCGGGAAAAATCAGAATTAATCGGGTGGCAAATTGATTGAAACTTGTTGAATCAAAGTCTAAACATGCATCTCATATTTGGATACTGTTGGGAACATTATAGATTGAAGTATGAAATATCATGCTCCCTCACTTTAATCTATTGGGCGTCCAGATGTACTTTGACTTACTTTGACCATCAGTTGCCAAAGAACGACACTAAAATACCTTCATTCACAGGGTATCCTCAAAAAGATAGAAATTATTCAAATCCAATCCATTCCAATCATAAAGTCGTGGTAAATTGTGCTGAAGCCATCCTAAAATCCTCTTAGATCCTCCTAAGCTGTTCTTTTTCTCTCGGTTCCACGGTGTTTTTTCTCGGGTCTCTGCCTGGCATCCACGCGTCTCGGCGTTGCAAGGTCAGCCCCTAAAGGGACGACCATGGCAGAGTTGCCAATGAGATCACTAACCACCTCCACCTCAGAAAAATCCACCCAGGTGCCGAATGATTCGTAGCGGATTGGCATCTTGACCCATGCCCAAGATAATACCTATATGTAATAATACATATATTATATATATGAGTAATCATATATATATATATATACTTAGAAATATATAATAAGTGCAGGCAAATTTATATAAATTGAAATCATGACAAATCTATGTGTATATATATATATTATATATGTATATATATATATATGTATATGTTCTGCGGGATTGGCTGGGCATTAAGCCTCATTATCAAGCTTCTGAGATCTTCTGAGCAACATAGATGCGAAAAAGTGATTCTACTGTATGAACCAGCAAGCAGGGTCCGGAAGTGAAATTATCCCACAGTTTCATTTCAAATATGTTTTGTGGAAATTCTTTACGTGCCATCATTTTGGATGTCAACAATCAACATGGGGAAAGACTAACAACATGCTGAAGTCAACACATGCATGTGGGGGTAGTTTCCATCTTAATCTTTGTTGTTTCCAGCAGGGTATTCAAATATATCAGCTTGTACTGGTGTTTCTGATCTGCAGACATTCAGAACACAGTGTGCGTTAGGATACTGTATTGTATATATACGTTTATATATGAATTATATGCTGTGGTTAAGTATTACCGGGTATCGCTTCGGTAGAGGTCTTGGAAACATGCAGTGTTGACATGCAAAAAGTGCAAACACAGGTTGCACAAAAACACAGTAGATCACACGATGATTGAAACTTTCTTTCCATTCCGCAGTGGTCTTGGGGAATCTCTAGAGAAACGTAGAGGTCATTCTCAATTCTACTTTCATACTTCCAGGGTCATTGCTCAGGCCTAGTAGTGGATGAAGGCTGAATCAATCGTTCAAAACTATATCAGAGCTGTCCAGTGTCTTGTTCCAAAACAGCCTATTCTTAAGAAGTTGGCGTGATCCTATGCAATAGAATCGTGAACCTGACTTGTCTGTCTATTCAAAGTTCAACACAAGAGAATACACAAACAATGAACATCAAACCACCTAAAGCTTAAAGCCAGGATATAACTCACCCTGCGACCCTTGGCACTTTACCCCACATCTTTCCCTGCCTCTTCTTGATTCTCCGAATCTTCCAGCAATGCCACCCTTGTGAAGGATGATGCCGTTCCTGTGGCGCGTGGCTGCGTGGCTCACATCTTCTTAAGAATCGGAAAGGGAATCCCAAGACCAATTAGTCAGAGTGCGAACATGCTTTGTTGGTGGTCAAAACATGTCAAACCTATTCAAACCTTATCAGTTTTATGCAACTTATGGATTTTTCAATTAAAGTTACAATTTGTTAATCGTTAACGACATGATTTTCATGTAACTCAGGGTACCCCGCTTCCGATCCATAGCCATGAACCTCTTGGCTTCCTCGGTTTTCTGCTATATATGTACAGTATATCTCACTTTCTTGTGGGCTAAGCAGTATCCAACCACCGTACTTTGGTGATGTTTCGATTCCCAAGAACTGTCATCTCAGTCTTTCTTACTATTAAGGCTCCTGTTTGCGATGTAGCTCTTTATATCGGTTGGAATTTCACTGTATTAGTCTAACCAGGAAATGCATCTTCTCTAACCGTTTCATCGCATGTCAAGAATCTGCAACTCCCCAAAATGGGATGGTTTGCTGCACAAAATCTGACCCAACATCTGTGGTTTTTGTGGGTCAAAATTTGACTACCCATTTGCGGTAGGGATTGGTAGGTATACCATAGGTTCCAGTTGGTCTGAAAATAAGGCATTCCCAAATCGACTGGTTCATCATCATCTTTTCTATTCAAACGGCCATTTCGGGGATATACATGGATATACTCCATGCTTAGACACACCCAAATCCATGTTAAGTCCCCATTGTTTATGATCATCATACCACCTTTTTTGTGGTTAAACCCCCCATTTCAGGGTTCCCAGCAATTCCCGGCGAAAGCTCCCACCTCTGGCCCCTTTTGGCTCCACCATGCGCCCCGGTGGCGCCAGCTGACCCAGGACATGCTTCCCACCATCGCGGCTGCGCAACCAGAAGCGCGTGCGCGACCTGGGTAGGTTGAAGCCATCTTTATGCCATCCCTCGAAACAAACTCTCAGTCTGTTCAAATTATGATTGAAACATATTGAAACGATGAATCTGCAGTATATGCGTGTCCAACTTGCGCAGCTCCAAATTCTGCTATGGTTTGCTCAGAGTGGAACTCTCCGGGCCCCGAAAAATCGGATGCCCCAAGTGACAAAAGGCCCCTGCTGCCGGGCCGCTGCACGCAGACGTGGCCCCGCAACTTGGCTTCGGGCAGCAGCGACGTCTTGGCGCAGAGCGCGTGCAGCACCGGCAGCTGCGTCCAGGTCATCACAGCTGCGTGGTGCAGCTGGGAGCGTCGCAATGGCCTGGGGCACGTAGGGATATCATGGGGACCTCCCCAGGATATCCTACACATAAGTCTACAGCCTCTCACATAAGCCATGTAAAACTGGGGATATTCCATGACAACCGGGGTATAAGATAATTGGTATTAATTGGTTATGAGATGTTATGAGGCTATTAACCACTTCCTAACTGGGATGCACAAACACGAATTACATGTACCGGCTAAGTTCAAGTTGAATTCAAAAACTCAGAAGACAACATTTGGATTATTTGAAGGAAAATCATGGAGATTCTGATTCTGATGAAATTGAGCAGCAAGATTTTGGGGTATTGACACCAAGACAAAGTGAGAACATGCGAGAACATTGAGCAGTAACAACCAATGGGGAAAAGGATGTCTACTAACAAACAGCTAATTCCAGCCAGCTTGGATGCTCGTCCCAGTTCATGGGCCAATGACCATGGCTTTTACGACCGCCTCCGAAAAATATATGACTGTCATTAGGATTAGAATCCCTTAAATGTAATGAAAACATCGAGGTTTTGCTGAAAATAGGGACGCCCAAATGTGATGCTTGCATTTTTCCCTCTTAAAGAAGTTGGCATAAATTGGTTGTAAACCCAATGTTCAGACACACCCAAATATCCATTGTCATCATGGTCCACTGGTGAAATCCCTACCTTAGAGGGTTAAATCACAATGTGTCACCATTTCTCATGCTTGAATCCACCATGTTTAGTCATGTTTCACTTCAGAAACTCTGGGAGTTGTACCATGATATCCTATGATATCCATTAAAACCATGCAACTCAGTACCTGAACCTCCTGCAATCCGCCCAGCCGGGCCCAGCCCACGTTGCAACTTTGCCTCCTGGACCAGTTGGATCCTTCCTCTTCCAGGCACAGGCGGAGACCAAGGACACGGCGAAAAATGCTGGGCCAGCCACTTCCAGGAAACAGCTCTTGGAGGAGAGACTGACTGTCTAAAACCTGGGAAAATCGATGGAAAACCATGTGGAAAACATGGAAGGGGAACTGATGACCTGGGTTTATCAGTTGGGTCACAAAAGTGGTCAATGATGCTTGGAGTATAGGATACAGGATTCTATGATATTCTATGTGCGTGTGTATATAATCTCAGGTTATATAGAGTAGTATGTTTGTGTGCACTTCTTTCTAGGTAATCCCAAGATCTCAGTGGCTCAAATCTGTTGTTCCCGCATCCCAAAAATGGGTTAAACATGGGTCAAACTTTGTCTGTCCCTGGCGAAAGGTAAGGCCGGTTGGCCGATCGGTCCACCACCAGCTTTGCCAAAGTGTCTTTTTGGTTTACCTACCTGCCCTTCTTTATCGTTGATGGTTTGTTTTTGCTTTTGCTTCGCATGACTCAATCTCTCAAGTAGGGAGTGAACGCAGAAGCGGATTGCAACAATATGACAATATGCGTTATATTGTGTTATGGTGTGTATAGTCACAAAGGATACATATATATATATATATACATGATATATGGATACGTTACTTTTATTCAAATGCGATAGAAAACACACATATATATTCCACAATCTTATTGATGGTGTGTTCCTCGGCATCTCAGCTGTCCAACTGGTCCATCAAGTCCGGGATTGCAATGTTACAAGTACCATATATGTACGCATATATGATATATCTATGTGTATACATAATATGTTCAAACATACACACTAATCAGATTAAACATATGACATATATGCATAATATTACATACACTGTACATTACATTATAAATTATAACTAGTTGGTGGTTTCAATCCCTCTGAAAAATATGAAAGTCAGATTGGATCATCATCCCAGCTATTGGGGAAAATAAAACATGTTCCAAACCACCAACCAGATAACTTACTATAACCTAACATCATGCACATCCAGTAGTCGGGAATTCCTGACTGCCCGCATCGCCGCGGCACCGGGCCCACGGGATCTTTCTCGTTGGGCTTCAGACTCCGAGCAATGCCGAGGCCTGGGGGAATGATCCTTAAAGGAGATGCGGATGGGAAATGATGAAGAAAAACTGGATTTGCTCATGGACTTTCAACAAACAAAGTAGGATATGCAGGATTCAAATAGGGATGTTCATCGATTTCAACAGAAATGTGGGATTCAAATAGGGATGTTTGTTCACCGGATATACACATAAAAATAGGATTGAATTGGGATTTTCACCGGAAAAGCAGGGAAATCATGTTATGATTGGTAAATGTAACGATACCGTATGAATTATAAACGACTTTTACTAGAGAAGGGGGATGAAGTGAGGATTCTCTTTTGAAACATGGAATTGACCAATGTTCATCGGAAACATGGAGAGGAACTGGGGGGGAATTCAACAGAACATGATGAGGATGGAAATGATTTTAGCAATAACAAATGAGCAAGCATGATCACACATATATATTTCTCTAAATTAGAGGGACCCTGGCCGGCCCTGGCCCCTGGCATTTATTTTTATGTGGCGATAAATTGCACATGACCCAACCAACATTCAAATCACACAAGAACAACCAAACTGGACACGACTATGGCTTTGTAAAATGTCAAAACATGATCAAGTGCAACATTCATGGGTCATTTTAAATCACGTTACTCCTAAACTATCAATCCATCCAAAATTTGATGACGTCACCCATTTTGGTCCCATGGGAATCCAAACATGTGTTGGCAACAACCCCACAGCCCGTCCCACAGCGGCCTAGTTCGATGGCCATGTCGATGAGTTCTTCAATGCCTCCCCAAACCTATCTGGATCTGGCTGATCTGCTGGCCGATCTGCTGGATTTATGGTTGATATATGGTTAATATGTGGTATAATCATTGGTTAATATATGGTTATATATGGTTATATATGGTTATATATGGTTATATCTGGTTATATATGGTTATATATGGTTATATATGGTTATATATGGTTATATATGGTTATATATGGTTAATATTTATTATGGTTCAACACCCAACACGGGGAACATGTTGATGGACATGGATGGTATATCTTCAATGAAACATTTGGATTCAACCATCAAGAACTGGAAGGTTGTCTGCCCGTAATAATATCAAGAAAATGAGTTCACCAGCCAGATTTACAATGGTTTATCACACATTTGTACAAATGATTGCAATTTTATCCATTATATATAGCTAATATAGCTGGTGAAGCCCTGATTTCACACACTTCCAAGTCTTCCAGCCGTGGTGTTCGTATTGACTTCGCACCCCCGCCAGACTCGGCCATGGCACGATTTTCAGCACGTCTTGTTGCGATAGGATTCCGCGGAGCTTCTGCGCCAGCAACGGCCAATTGACCAACTCCGTGCCCTCCGTCTGTCGCGGGTGCCCGATGATCCCGATGGTTGTTGGTGGTTCATAAGCCCTAATTGAAAGCACCGGGTGGTGCGGGTTCACCTGATTTGATGTTGGTGGAATCCGCATGATAAATGATGATAAATGGAGCATGAATTTTGGTGAAAGACATTTTTTTGGAGTAGAGTTTCAAATGGCTTAATGGATGTATGTGGGGTTTGTTAGGTTTATGGAGTTTTTCGTTGGGTTTACGACTTCTACTTGTGGAAAACTCAAGTATACTATATCGGTCAAATACACATGTCTTGGGCCATTACATGTTATTACACCAATTCCATCCAATTCCAACAAGGATATGCCTCTGGGTATGGTTTTAAATCTCCCCCAGCGACGAATCACAGTGGTGTAGTAGCCCTCAAAAAAATAGAACAGTAATTTACAATTGCGTCACTAGCATATTACTTGACCATCGTTTTGGGGGGGGTGCAAAAAGTACCAATCAATTCCTGTTGGCCAAGCAGGAATCAGGTTTGAAGATTATGCTGACATTGCGGCTTCATGTGTGTGAGATATATCCTACCCTTGTTGGAGCAAAATGGGGAATGTTTGCAACAATGCTTGGGATACAACTTGCAATCAATGGACATGGTAAACATCTGGTAATATCTGATAATCCTTGCTCAAAAAGCTGGATAATGGCCCCAAACAAATCCAAGTCTTCGTATATGTTGGGGATATGTATATCCGAATATAGCCTACTATAGCTTCCACCTATGGATTTAAACTTCTGGGACCATGCTAAGTCCTTGATAAAGGCACACCATGTCACGTGCAGCAGTGACGCTTCAAACAGGATGGTCTCATAATAATGTATACTATTTATACCCTTTGGTTATTTAACATAGCCATGGAACATGGCCCATTTATAGATGGTTTACCTATTAAAAATGATGATTTTCCATGCCAAACTGTTAAATAACCAGATGGTACTGTAATTAGAACATATTAGAACATCAAAACGCTGCATTTTGGCGGCTTTGGCGTCGTGATTTCAGAGATTGAATCGATCCCATGGGCTCCGATGATTCATGATGATTCAACAATCATAGAATTGGATGATGGGAAAATTTACAGGAAAGCCCTATCCCATAGGATCCATGGTGCTGCTATATATGGTAACATGGATCCCCTCAATATACCCCCTTGATGTTAGCATATATACCAGCACCATGGATCCTATGGGTATATTTCATGGTAAAAACCATGGTTTCGATTCAACAATCATAGAATTGGATGATGGGAAAATTTACAGGAAAGCCCAACCAATTTGATGGTAAAAAACCATTAAAAAACCATGGTTTCCTGTAAATTTTCCCTTAAACCAATCCAGTGAAACAAGTTGGATACACCTCCTCTGCTCGGAGAGCAAAGAGGTCGAAGAGTTCCACGTGCTGCGAGCTGCCAACGACCAGCACGCCTAAGGGCCACAACGGTCGATAGCATGTTCAACGTTTAAAATGTGGGAACATACCCTCTGGTAAACTAACATAGCTATTGAAAATGACCATTTATAGTGGATGTTCCCATTGAAAATGGTGATTTTCCATAGTTATATTAGTTTACCAGAGGGTAATATGAGAAAAACATGTTTTAACGCGAAAATATAGGACAATCCACAATCCACTATAAATGGAGGTTTTCATTACAATAAATCCACGTGGGCATTTCAATGATAGAAGCATTTATAATAGGGATTTTCCAGCAAGCCATGTTTCATTACCAGAACTAACATCCAATGTTCCGTATTCCCATGGCTCAAGCTTCGCATGAAGCCGTCGTTATCGCGCCCGATCTAGCCATGGTTTCTCATTAAATCCCCAGGTTTTACTGGTTAACCAGATGATGGCTCAATCCCTAAATTTGCTGTTTTGATCACCATTTTCTAGCAGTTGAGTCACCATTTTTGATGGTTTAATCCCCATGTTTGATGGTTAAATCTGATTTTTGTGGGTAATCATTATTTTTGTTGGTTAGATCCCTATTTTTGCTGGTTAAATCTGATTTTAGTTGTGGATAAATCATGATTTTTGTATATCTGTCTTGGCTACATCATTTCATAGATCCATGTGTTTGATTGTTCAATTCCCATTTTGTTGGTTACCCTCTGGTAAACTAACATAACTATGGAAAATCACCATTTTCAATGGGTAAATCCACTATAAATTGCCATGTTCAATAGCTATGTTAGTTTACCAGAGGGTAGATCCCTCGTTTTTTCGTGCGGCGCTCCCATCCCATCCCTTCTGCATTTTCGCAGTTCACGCGCAGAACCAAGAGACTCCCGGGGCGATGCCAAAAGGGAGCCTCCTCTCCTGTCCAACAGTTGTTGCAATCAATTATAGTAGTAATAGTATAGTTATGATATAGTAATATGGTATAGTTATAATAACCATAGTGGTATATTATCATACTATAATAATAATCAATCATAATGGTATATAGGATCCATGGTGCTGCTATATATGGTAACATGGATCCCATCAATATACCCCATTTTTGTTAGCATATATAGCATTCATGGATCCTATGGGATATAGTTTTAGTATGTTAGAGTAATATACCATTATAATATTAATTATGATTTATTAAGATATTGATATACATTTACATACCCTCATATAACATCATATAACATCATATAACATCATATAACCATAATAGTGTGTTAATATATTAGTTAATATGATACTGTCTGGTCATCAAACGTGGCAATTGGAAATGCATGGATCCCTGCGAAAAATGGAGTTTTTTTTTTTCTTAATGTGACATCATCTGTCAATGGTGGTTTCTCAATTGCTACGTTTGATTAACGGAGGGAATATTATGTTTTAAAGATAAATGATCTGTCAACTGGCTTACAACTGGGTTATAACTGGGTTATATAAGATATATGAAGTAGTATGGTTACCGGGCCATGGAGTTACTTAACTGTTTAGACTGTGATATCATGGGTTTAAAGGATTTTTAAGGGAATATAGCCAGTTAACTAACTCCATGGCCCATCTACAAACGGATGATTACATGTTTACATATTACAGTATTACAGGATAGATTGAATGGACATGATATTCGATTGAGTTAAATGATCGCACATGTACATCTTAACCATTCAAGTTGAAGGTGGATATTGTAAACATAATTTAACGATTAGTGCCGGTAGGGTATAGTATATTGTTTAATTACTGTTGATTATATATCCCCATACGTGCTGGTTCTGTTCCAATGGATAGCCGCTCATCTTTGGTCAATTCCCATCAAAACCCAAGACACTCAAGAGATGGTTCATTCATCCAAAACACATACCCTCTGGTAGTTTAACATAGCTATAGAAAATCACAATTTTTAATGGGAAAATCAACTATAAATGGCCATGTTCAATTGCTATGTTAGTTTACCAGAGGGTAAAATTATCTCTATAAATCTCATTATATTCCGATAAATTCAGGATATACCATTGGGAAGACATTCTCTAAGTCCCATATCCCAACATGTGCCATGAAACATCCCAGTAGATTCCATGGTAAATTCCTATCCCATATCCCACATGGTCCACATGGTTCCCTTCCAAGGCGCTGAAGAGATGTATCACCAGCAGATCCTCCTCCCTCAATCGCTCCAGTGCCGCATCTGCCGCCTCCGCCGTCTCACAGGCACCAAGGAAGTTGTCGTGGGGCAACAGGAAGCCCTGGGAATCCACCTAGTTTTGCGGTTCCGACGTTTAAAGGAACCAGGGCAGAAGTGGAAGGGTTTTTGATAATTAGAATACACATAGACATTGTATCTGTCTATATATCTAAAGCTATCGAAGTCTATCTATTGGCTTGAAACCTAAATATGTCTATATATATATATATCTAAATCTATCCTATCCTTTCCTATCGTATCACATCCTATCCATGTATCGATCTATCCACTTATAGAATGAACCCCATTATTGTCGGGATCATCATCATTGGTATTATCACTATTGCTAATGTGTTGATGTTAACATTATTTACATACAGGAACTGGGACCAGCCATATAAATCGCCAAACAACTGAATTTCAAGGGTTCAGTTTCCCATAGCACTCGAATGTGCACATTTGCCAATGTCGAAGCTGGCGGATATCATAATGGCCAACATTGGTTGATATCCAAAGTTCAATCACTGCTTTACGGTGCTTAAAATATGTACCATCTGCTTATATAACATAGCCATGGAAAATCACCATTTTTAATAGGTAAACCATCTATAAATGGGCCATTTCCCATGGCTATGTTAAATAACCAGAGGGTATATCAGACTCAGCATACTTTACTTCATCCTAATTCATCCTGTCGCTGTTTTGTCTTTGGTTCATATGTCCGAAGAAACATCTTTCTGCTTGGTGGATTCAACGATGACATCGGATCTGGGCTCGGGGTTCATCCAGACAGCTGTTGCGATGTTCACCTGGAATCTACTCATGTTTGAGCGGCCTTGACCTTTGATTCATATCCCGAGACATGGGCTAGGCCTTTTTAATCCTTTTTTAGATGTGGTGAACCCCATGATCAATCCAATTGATTCTAGGCTCCTGACCCCTCCAAATGCCTAAAGTGAGGCAAATGGAAGTATGGAATTGTTCATGATGTTACCATCTTAACTCCCCAAACAAAACCAGTCCACATCTACCCACATGTGCCTGTCATGTTTGACCTTTCCCTGTCAACTTCACCCGTCCCCCAGGGACGCGGCGCCACATCTGTCGCGTCACAGGACCAAACGGAAAGGCTCCGTCGTCCGCATGAAAGGCTCCGTCGTCCGCCAGGGACAAGATCTCTTGAAGTCGATCTAACTCCTATATTTGGCGCACAGCCAACGGAGATTTGGCGCACATGATTCACCAATTGGATAGTGTTTTTCAACATTAGGCCATCCAAGAAATATTGAAAATATTAAACATATTAATATGTTACAAATAAATCTCCCATTTGGTATGAGGGTTTTGACATGTGATACCAACATGTTAAACATGCAATAGTTGTATTCCCAAATTCAAAAACCACATGTTTGATATGTGGTAATTACCAAAATTGCATCTTTCTATAGGATATAAAACGTTATTAAACATATTAAACCATCCAGTTATATCCAGTTGTTTGGGGGTTATACATATACAATAGTGTTAAGCCATTCTCATTTGGGTATGGGTCAAATGTCACATGAGCAATACATGGTCATTTTCTGGTTGGATGTCAATCCCACAAGAGTTAAACCTTCGCCTCAACAATTCCAGGATCCGATCTCTGACCCGCCCCAACGTATCGATCACATTTCTAGAGGTCAAAGGTTGCATATCTGTGCATGTCAAACATCATCTTGCCAAATCTTGCTTAAACCAGGCCGAATCCGCATATGTGCTTGTCAACCTCCCTCTGTGTCACACATTTAAAAAATAATGTCACATATGTTCACCCTCAATCCTCTTTCCCGAATATGGGACCCAGCTACCTGTATAGATCACACCAGTCCAAGCTTCCACATCTTCCATGTTGCTTACAAATTATATACATCTTACATCCATATCAAATCATACCCACACCTTTTAGTCCAGAGTTCCACATCTTCCATTTTTATTGATTCTCGGTTCAACAAAAAACACCATTTTCCATGGCAAGTTCATGCACCCTCCCCAATTCAATGTCAATCCAAGTGTGGACATCTTCCATGTTTCTGCCTAACATGTTGCCCATGGCTCTTAGTTTCTAACCCCAGGATGTCTGCTTCAACCCCATTTTGTTTCATAAGTCCTGTTCTGAGGCAATACATGGCAATACCAAAAAAAAACAGTGAAGTCTAATCTAGGTTCTATTTAACACTATTAATTCAACGCTATTAATCTAGGTTTGATTAGAATAGTGTTCCAATTTAACAGTAATTCACAGATTTCAATCCAAGGATTGATGATTCAAAATCCCGTGCTGCTTATCCCATGATGGTTGTTTCAAACCCATTTGAAAGAAACACAAAAACAACAATTTCTCCAAGGGTCCACACATTCCATTTTTGTTGATTGTGGATTCCGAAATTTTGCAGGGTCCACATGCAAGAAGTCCAAAGTTTACTAATCGCAATAACAACCCAAGGGTCCACATCCATCTGTGTGGCCAACATGTTAGCCATGGCCAGCAACGTTTCACATCTAGTCATGGTCAAAGTCTCCACTTTGTCCATGTTTGCTGATTGTTGATTCCCAAAAATATAGTAATATGGTCGGTACAACAGCATACAGCAAACATGATAAGTCCGAATGTTATCATCGCATATCCGCCGACCCCGGCAGACGCAAGGGGGAGCGCGCCAGGGAATAATACTTTTGACTCTTGTTTCGGACTACTACCGCAGCGGGCGCAGCCGACCCCGGGAGCGCGCCAGGGGCCATGGTGTTTCCCCGTCGGGAGGGCCGTGTCTCTGTGGGCACAGCAGCAGCCACAGCAGCAGCAGCAGCAGCAGCTCCCAGTAGCCAGCATCAAGAAACGTCTAGCAAGCTTTTTCTAGGAGATTTCAGAAGGGACGTTCCGGCCCCGGGAAAACGTCTATTTTGGACTCCATTCGTCCTTCAGGGCCATGGTGTTTCCCCGTCGGGGAGGGCCGTGTCTTTGTGGGCACAGCAGCAGCAGCAGCAGCAGCTGTTTCTTGCTTTGGAAGCTGTTTGATTGCAGCAGCACAACAGCAGCACCACAGCAGCAGCAGCAGCAGCCACCAGCAGCAGCAGCAGCCACCAGCAGCAGCACCAGCAGCAGGCAGCAGCAGGGAGCAGCAGGCAGCAGGCAGCAGGCAGCCGCAGGCAGCAGCAGGCAGCAGCAGGCAGCAGCAGGCATCAGTAGGCAGCAGCAGACGCAGTGTAGCAGCTAGCAGCGAGCCAGCAGCCAGCCTCGAGAAACGTATAGCAAGCTTTTTGTAGGAGATTTCAGAAGGGGACGTTCCGGCCCCGGGACACGCATATTTTGGACTCAGTTCGTCCTTCAGGGCCATGGTGTTTCCCCGTCCGGGAGGGCCGTGTCTTTGTGGGCACAGCAGCAGCAGCAGTCGCTGTCGCCCTCCAGTAGCATGGTGCCGGAAGCCGCTTTTTTTGAAGGGTCATTGAAGGGTCAGCTGCACCAGCAGCAGCAGCAGCAGCTCCCAGTAGCCAGCACATCGAGAAACGTATAGCAAACTTTTTCTAGGAGATTTCAGAAGGGACGTTCCGGCCCCGGGAAACGACTATTTTGGACTACGTTCGTCCTTCAGGGCCATGGTGTTTCCCCGTCGGGGAGGGCCGTGTCTTTGTGGGCACAGCAGCAGGGGGCAGCAGGCAGCAGCAGGCAGCAGGCAGCCGCAGGCAGCAGCAGGCAGCAGCAGGCAGCAGCAGGCATCAGTAGGCAGCAGCAGACACAAGCAGACGCAGCAGTAAGCGCAACGGCAGCAGTGCAGCAGCTAGCAGCGAGCCAGCAGCCAGAAACGTATAGCGAGCTTTTTGTAGGAGATTTCAGAAGGGACGTTCCGGCCTCGGGAAATGCCTGGGCCGTGTCTTTGTGGGCACAGCAGCAGCAGCAGCAGTCGCTGTCGCCCTTCAGTAGCATGGGGTTTCCTTGCCGGAAGCCGCCTTTTTGAAGGGTCAGCAGCAGCAGCAGCTCCCAGTAGCCGGCATCGAGAAACGTATAGCAAGCTTTTTCTAGGAGATTTCAGAAGGGACGTTCCGGCCCCGGGAAAACGTCTATTTTGGACTCCATTCGTCCTTCAGGGCCATGGTGTTTCCCCGTCCGGGAGGGCCTTGGCTTTGTGGGCACAGCAGCAGCAGCAACAGCAGCAGTCGCTGTCGCCCTTCAGTAGCATGGTGCCGGAAGCCGCCTTTTTGAAGGGTCAGCTGCACCAGCAGCAGCAGCAGCAGCTCCCAGTAGCCAGCATCGAGAAACGTATAGCAAGCTTTTTCTGGGAGATTTCAGAAGGGACGTTCCGGCCCCGGGACACGCATATTTTGGACACCGTTCGTCCTTCAGGGCCATGGTGTTTCCCCGTCCGGGAGGGCCGTGTCTTTGTGGGCACAGCAGCAGGGAGCAGCAGGCAGCAGGCAGCCGCAGGCAGCAGCAAGCAGCAGCAGGCAGCAGCAGGCATCAGTAGGCAGCAGCAGAGACAAGCAGACGCAGCAGTAAGCGCAACGGCAGCACTGCAGCAGCTAGCAGCGAGCCAGCAGCCAGCCAGCAGCCAGCCTCGAGAAACGTATAGCAAGCTTTTTGTAGGAGATTTCAGAAGGGACGTTCCGGCGCCCTTCAGTAGCATGGGGTTTCCTTGCCGGAAGCCGCCTTTTTGAAGGGTCAGCTGCACCAGCAGCAGCAGCAGCTCCCAGTAGCCAGCATCGAGAAACGTATAGCAAGCTTTTTCTAGGAGATTTCAGAAGGGACGTTCCGGCCCCGGAAACGCCTATTTTGGACTCCATTCGTCCTTCAGGGCCATGGTGTTTACCCATCGGGCAGGGCCGTGTCTTTGTGGGCACAGCAGCAGCAGCAGCGGCGGCGGCGGCGGCAGCAGCAGCAGCAGCAGCTGTTTCTTGCTTTGGAGGCTGTTTGATTGCAGCAGCACGATAGCAGGAGGAGCAGCAGCAGCAGCAGCCACCAGCAGCAGGCAGCAGCAGGCAGCAGCAAGCAGCAGGCAGCAGGCAGCCGCAGGCAGCAGCAGGCAGCAGCAGGCAGCAGGCAGCAGCAGGCAGCAGCAGATTATTATATATATATATATATAAGATAACACTCATACTAAGACACCTCTATAATTTTTATATGCAATCATAGGACTATAAACACCTGGCTCGCGCCAGATTCGCCCTGCCAAAACGACGCAAATGCAGCCGACCATGGGATCCCTTGGGCCCCCCGGCAGGCTGAGACTCTGAATATCGAGAAACCGCTTATAAATGGTCGTACCGCCGTGGAGCAGAATCAACTGAATCGGAAAACAAACAGACAATCTTAACATATTGTAACTGTAACCGAGACTTGGGAAGCCTGTGCTGATTAACATTTACTCTTTATCTAAACTACTCCAAGATCGACAAAACATGATGCTGGCTAGTTGAGTCCCTAAAGTAGCTAAAGGCTGGAAACTATCAACCAATTGTCAAAAAAAACTCAGACCATCATCTGATATATGATATAACTGTCATATAACCACATGACCATTCTTCCGGGGTCGGCGGCAGGGGCGGCAGCCCTTATGTAATCCCAATGATAATCCCAAGTTTCCACATCATCACATCTCTATAATTAATATATATATATATATAACAAACTATCATTACAATCACATTAATTTAAAAATATATATATATATATATATATATAGTTATATAATATATGATATATATATATACATCATATATCATGTATATATCATATATCATGTATAGATTCTAGTCATCATATGTCATCATTTACCAAGCGTCCACATCTTCTCCACTTCTCTCGTTCGGCAGCTTTGACAGCAGCAGCGCCGCATCCGCGACGCGGCCGCGCTGCCGCAGGCTGCAGGCCACGTCCTCGCCGATGGCCACGTCGCGATCCACGAAGTCGCTGAGGCCTCGGTGATCCAAAAAGGTCGGTGGTTTTGAGCAGCAGAAAATGGATGGATTTGGCAGCACAGAACATGTGGATTTCACCATGGTTTTAAGGTTTTAACTGATGGAAAATTATTTGGAGCTGAACAAAAATGCTGGAGTGGGATTCAATCAATCAAAACATTGGATTTGAGATGGTTTTAGCGAACAATAGGGTTTTATCTATCAGATTGGGTCTGAAAAATGGAACCATCCACATAAAATGGCACTGTTTATTGGGGGAATCAATAGCAATGATTGTGTTCTTCTCCGACAAACCCGGGTGAAACCGTCCAAACTTGAAACCATCCAAACTCACTGGGTTTAAAGGAACAATCTAGAGGAAAAACATTGTTTCTTTTAGCATCAAACCATATATATAGGGTGTCCTTCCAGAGGTTCAAGCCGCGGTACCGTAGAAAGACATGAGATGAATATATATATATATATATACATGTGATGTGTGCATAATTCTGTATATGTATATACATGCAGTTCGACAAAAAATAAGTCAATTGTTTGAATTTTTGCTGGAGGAGGTTGAAACTTGCCTTGAAATGTTGGACATGTTTGGAACGATTCCCGCCAGTGTTCATGAATATTCATGAATAAACATCGCAGCTGGCAGCTAGTTGCAACTTCAAGTTATGATGACGCTGTTTGAGGTGGCAACAACTTGGAGGGCCCTCATTTTAGATGTTTTCTTTTCCCCCAACATGTTGATCCCTAACTGGATGGAAATGTGTAATCTCAACATCACCTAACGTTTGAGATGTTTGCTCTCCAGCAGATACGTTTTCAAGTGATGATCAACATCCCCAAAACACGATACGTACCCCCGCACCCCGCACTTATTCAATTGTAGTTCAAGACATGGGGTTATATTACAACTATATTTCATCTTATGTTGGAATGATATTGAACTATTTATATAAGCATGTATAAGTGATACACAATGATGTTACCAACCCCTAAACCATCCTAAACCTACATTACTAATTATTAATTACTAAGTGATACATTACTAATTATTAATTACTAAGTGATATACGATATCAAATTCTATACTGCCGAGTGTACTACATGATGATATTCAAATCTATGTACATTATATGTATATATATATATAACTTATATAAATATCAACTGACATACAATATGATGATATGAAGTAAAGTCTCTAAAATTCGTCAAAATCACACATATAATTATATATACTATTGCATATATTAATAATAATAAATAATAAAACATATATAACATTTTATAATAAATAATGAATAATAATATATATATATATGTTTATAATTATCTGTATATATATATATTTGTACAAATAATGATACATATAAATTCCATTAACGTTTAAATGATATATTGAAAGCCCAAGGCACGCGACACGGGCAAGGCGCCGCCCCTCTTGGTGTCCAGCGCCCAGCGACGCAACGCGCAGCGCCGGATGGCCCCTTCGCGGAGGTTAGATATGATTAACTATTATGGATACTGGGTTATAAACATTAAAATATTAATCACAATGTTAATAAACCAACTATCTTTTACTAGACAATGGATTATTTTTGATTATATAACAATGAATGGGTTATTAACATTAAATATTATGATTAATGGTTAATAAACCATTCATGGTTATATAATCAACAATAGTTAATCAAATTCATGGTTATTAACGATTATGGATTATCTATGGTTCATTAACCATTATAATTAGATTCATTATGATAATGATTTAGCTGATTTAACTATAATTCATGGTTACTTGATCATCAACCATTAGACTAATAACTACTAATAACAATTAACTGGATTAATGATTTAACCATAATATCATAATGGTTTAACTATGGTTAATGATTTATGAACTATAGTTGTAGAAATTGAAACTATAGGGAGACTTTATAGGTTATGAACTATAGCTGTAAACCATAGTAAGTTAAGTATAATGAAGGGATGTGAAAGATATTAAGTCTTTATCACCATAAATTGGTTTCACTAACCTAATTTTCGTTAACCAGCCTATGATTCAACAGATTAACCGTAAACTAAACAACTAATAGTTGTTGTCACCATGCAAAACTTAGAAGCCTCTGATTCACACATGGTTTTCGTTTTTGTTGGTCTGGTTTATGGTTTATTGCCCGCCCAACCAAAGTTATAATTACCAAATAGAAATATACATCCTAGGTAACCTGGCTGTAAATAAACCAACTTAGCTGAGGAATTGGGGCAACATATTGCATGGAACGTTATTATATAGAGTTAACCATCGACGATGGGGATTTCACCATCTAACAGAGAGAAATTCCAGTTTTTTAACCATGCAATTGGGGGCTATACTATAAATAAATATAAATAATTATGTAATTCAACATATTCATGGGATCATGAGATATTAATGGGACAGAATGGGAAAGACTGGGATGTCTAACCACGATTATGATATTTGATTTAGTCCTAAAACGGTGTGTATCCCAAAATGGACATCTTAATACGCATGATAATGATCATGATGATTACCCCATGAATTTAGGAGTAAGTGTTTTTTCCACACAAACCTTATCCATTGTTTAGTGGGCCTATAGTATAGTGAGTATGCCCAAGAGGTATTATAGCCAAATAATGCCAAATATATAGATCTTATATGACCGTAGTAACATCATAAATGATATCCATGACACTGATATGATAAACATTGTTTAAGATCATTCTGATATCTGATTATCATAGAACGGATTGTATCATATCACTTATTTAGATCATAAACAAACATCTTAAATGATCACAATGATATCCATGACAATGTCATGGATGATAAATCATTGTGATGTCAGAACGGATTGGATCCCCAGGGTTTCCAGTGAAATTCTGCCAAAGATTCCATCTGGTGGGATTTCGACGCCGATGTGCTCCGCAATGCCACAGACCTCAGCAACCAACTTGTGGCCCCAACCGTATAATTCTGTACGTGTATACACATGTATCCAAATTATCATATATTAGTCATAGTTACCTATAATATATTGTACATATTTAATGGGACAACACCATCAAACATCAGAATTCCACTTGTTCTTGGGCAGTCTCATTGCTTCCAAAACAAAATCAGAAAAGGTAGTTGAGCAGTCTCGCTCTGATTACACAACTCCAAGCCCCAAGGTGGGATGAAATCTGTCCCTGAAAAGAAGGTTCGTCATTTGGGATCATCCCAAATGGGATGGACTATAAACTATAAACACCTATCTATATAAACATGTGTATATACATACACATATAATCATATATATATATACGTGAAACCAACAACTTTTCATTTTCCAATCCATTTCTCAATCTATTCATTATATCCGATGAAATATTGCCATCAAATGCTTGGTTACCCCATTAACCCCCAATTGAGCCCCCATCAACCCCCAGTAAACCTCACTAAACCCTCGTCGTTAAACTCCCACGAAACTCCCAGAAAACCCCCAATTACAACCCCACCTGTTAAACCCCATTAAACCCCCATTTCCTAAGCTGGGGGTACCCCAAGTTACCTATGGTTGTTTCAATACTAAAATGGTCTAAAATGCTCTAACTATCTCTAACTCTTGATGATTGGGGGTACCGGATACCCCTATGACCCTTGGAACCCTTGGAAACCCATCTGCTTTTCTCAGCCCAGATGCAATCTCAAAGTCATCGATTTCTGCATGTTGCTCGAAGCGTCGGTCCAAATTCTCCACAACCTTCCGTCGATCCACCACCGAGGCGGCGGTCAAGATGCCGCTGAGCATATCGCGGCGTTCGCGCCAGGGGCGATCTAAATTCAGAACCTGTCCTGATTGGACAGTTGGCCACGGATAAGTAAAGGTTGGATTCCGTAGGTGAGTAAACTTCAATCATTGGCATATAAAAATATGTGCGTGTATATATATATATATATATATATCTTAGGTCATCGTATTTTCAGAAAGGTTTTTAGGAATATTTCAGCGGATTGTTCTTACCATTCATAACTGGGTCATAACTGTATAACCTTGGTTGCTACTTACTTAGGTCGTGGTCATGGAGACACTTCACTGGGCGGGACATATCACATATCCCCTTCAATAGTGATAATGACAACAATAATAGTTAATAACACAAACAATAACAATAATGGATACATACTGTTTTGTGGAAGAGTATCTGGGGTACTTGCCATTATCATTCATGGTCCCAGGTCCATTTAGACGTTGTATATTCATTTCCAAGTATTTCAAGTGGTGTTTACATCCAGACTATACATAACTATAAATCATCTATAGAGTGACTACTTGGAGGATCATCCCACTTGTTCAGTAAGCAGTTAATAGCTATAGTATGCTATCACCCGTAGATGGGACAACCCACTCAATGGGGGACCAGCACCGAGTAGACTGAGTAGACCGAGCATCGCACGAGCAGCTCCACCTTCTCCGATTCCAACTCCACCCCGATGGCCACCATCTGCGCCGAGAGCAATGCGAAGCGCCGGAAGTTGCGGTGCCCCGGCGCACGTGTGGGGTTCTCCACAAAGGCCTACCGCGATGGGATGGAAAAATGAGAGGATCTGCACGAAGTGAAGTTGTTCCGTAGTGTGTGCCTGTGTGTATTATATTCTTTATTAGCATGTATGCTGTACATATATGTACACATTCGTATGAAATACATGTGTATATATATATATACAATACATGTGTGTATATGCATATCTTATATCTTTGTATTAATATGTATATTATACACATACTATCACATACTTAGACAGTCATGATGGATGATCCTTTATTTCATTTTAATGCAACCATGGATGGTTATCTGTGCCACATGGAATTGTCACCCGAGCCGGGCCAGTGACCAAGGTTGTGACACCGACCTAGAGCCGGTGGAGCCACTGTGAAAAGCATGCTTGGTAGCTGGGGTAAGGCACTATCGCATGAAAAATACCAGAAATAATACTGTATCCCACATATCCATTACATATCCATACATATCCCACATACGATGTTTGGGCTTGGCCCAATATGAACAATATTGAACAATCAATCCTACCTTCCATCATTCGAGTATCATGTAATTGGGAACAAACTCCCTGACCCCTCGCGTGACGGTTTTCAATGTCCCTCAATGGAAAATGTGGGATTGGTGTTTTACTGGGCCCATCACCTTACAGGGATCATGTGTGTATATATGAATACACATCCTCCAGTCATGACATGGTTTCCAATATCCTATGTAGTTGTGAGGTGTGATATCACCAAGCAACTAATCCTTCAATCCTAGTTTGTGTTACCTGGTACCTCCATCTCACCTGGGGCTGAGAAACTCCTTTTGTTCAGCCAGATCTGCATCTCAGTCAGCAAATGATCAACATCACACCCAGACCGGCTGCAAGCATTCGCCAATTTCGAACTGGGAATGCACATCTAAGCTTCAGTCAAAATTTGGCACTTTCACATCCAACCCCAAAACAAAAATGGGCAAAAAATACCTCCAACTCAACAAATTCATCATCTTGGATTTGCTAAAGGAACCCCCCCCAAAAAAAAATATATTCCTTATAGATTCCCCAAGTATATCATGGATTTCCCATCGGGAAAATCAGACCAAAATCATCAACAAACTGCAAAATTACTCTTCCAGAGCCCCAATTTCTAGTGGCATTTGGTGTCTAAAATTGAGGGTACACCTCCAACTAACCATTGTTCATACAAAACATGATGAAAATGATCCCATCAAATTTGTGGGTGTTCAAGTTTTCCCTTATTTTCAATCAAAAAAAAATGAGTGTTGCCTTCATTTTCGATCAAAAACAACAGCCAAAAATCCAGCCCCAGCCAGACACTCTGCAGCACCTGTTGCCACAGCGTCTCTCTCAACTCTTGGGCCGTAACGCAGGGCGGCAGCTCCCCGAGGTGTTGGCACAGCCCGGGCCAGGCGCTGACGCTGATGGAGCCCTGGACCAAGGGAAGTTCCACCTGCAGGGCGTGCTGCTTCCAGTCCTGGGGGAGCCATGTGATATCGTGGATGAATTGCTGGCTTGACTATCCAAAAATGATGGAACAATGTTTAGCTATCCAAAAATGCTGGTTAAACTACTTTAAACTACTAAGAATTGTTGATTGAATCCTCCAAAATGAGGACATATGGGGACATTATGCATATTGAACCCAGAGGGCATGGTCTAGTGGATAAGACGCATCCCTCATGCGTCAGACCCGGATTCAATACCCGGGTGCAACACTAGGCGGACAGGCAGGCCACTACCCCACCCCTGCAGTTAAGGGGATAAGCTAGGGTGTGGTCCGTAAAACATTCACATATTTAACCCATGAACAATGGAATTGGGTGTGAAAAAATGGGTACTATCCCCTAGCATCAAATTGGTATATTCAGACAAACCCATGAGGGCTTTCACAGTCAAATCTTCGATGCAAAAAAAAACATGGAGCATTCAGCAACGAATAATTGACCTCGAGCCTGACTCATTTTGGACTATGTTCTGTTGAAAAGCAACACACAACATCAACGAACAAAACATGGGGGATCAACCAATTTGAGTTTGGGGGACAATTGTGGCTTTTGTAACATGGGAAAATGGAGTAGTTGACTCAAGCCAACATTTAAATTTAGCCGGTCTAATTTGTTCATGTGTGTAAAGTACGGTTTGAACATGACATCGGACTGTTGCTTGCAAGCAAGGCAGGACCAGATATTCGGACTCATGGACAGTAGATAGAGGCTGTTCCTCCAGTTTCACACCTACCCTCTGGTAATTTAACATAGCTATTGAAAATGATCATTTATAGTTGATTTACCAATTAAAAATGACGATTTTCTATAGCTATGTTAGTTTACCAGAGGGTATATGTATAGATACTAGTTGGAGAAGGCAATTCTTTCACACAAAGTTGGACCTTGTGAGAAGCCGTGTCATCGACAGCACGGCTAGACGTGATACTACTGTAGCACCACGTGAAGCAATGTACCTTCAATGTGTATAGTAGTATATAAGACTTGTAGATTTGCGCGTTGAATAATACTTAATATAGGAAATAGTTATTTTATAATCCACATCATTAGTATCAAACATTATAACTCAAACAACCCATGGCTAATATCCCCGTCCTCCAATAAGTCATCATCCAGTTCGTTCAGAATCCCCGACAGGAACGTCAAGAGGCCTGAGCCGGTTTCCAAGCCATCCAACCAAAATATATCCCAAGTTTCACCAATCTCAAGGGATCATAAATGCATATAAATGCCCTGTGTCTCGAATTTTGCTTGGTGGTCCCCAGTTTGCTTTCTTTTTTGAAAAAATATTACAACAACGATTGGAAGACTTGCTGAAGACTGGTTGGTCGCTTCGTCTCCCTACTATGAGTCACTTTGGATCATCCTCGAAAGGTAGGATGGAAAAGAAAGACACATTGAAAACCCCAGCAGCCACGGACCTTCCCGTGTGTCCAATTGAAATGTTGCTTGGCTCAATCAATTCAAAACCCAGAAAACCCTTAAAAACTACTTTACTTCGTGTGATCCCCACCATGACATTTATACATGTTCTTACTGGCACATCTTCTGGCATTCTGTCTGACATATCTTCTGACATTCTATTTGGCATTCTATCTGGCATATCTTCTGGCATATCTTCTGGCATTCTATCTGGCAAATCTTCTGGCATTCTATCTGGCATATCTTCTGGCATTCTATCTGGCATATCTTCTGCATTCTATTGGCATTCTATTTGGCATATCTTCTGGCATTCTATCTGGCATATGGCATTCAATCTGGCATTCTATCTGGCATATCTTCTGGCATTCTATCTGGCATATCTTCTGGCATCTATCTGACATATCTTCTGGCATTCTATCTGGCATATCTGGCATATATTCTGATCTGCATATCTTCTGGCATTCTATCTGGCATTCTATCTGGCATTCTATCTGGCAAATCTTCTGGCATTCTATCTGGCATATCTTCTGGCATTCTATCTGACATATCTTCTGGCATTCAATCTGGCATTCTATCTGGCATATCTTCTGGCATATATTCTGGCATATCTTCTGGCATTCTATCTGACATATCTTCTGGCATATATTCTGACATATCTTCTGGCATATCTTCTGACATATCTTCTGGCATATCTATCTGGCATATCTTCTGGCATATTTTCTGGCATTCTATCTGGCAAATCTTCTGGCATTCTATCTGGCATTCTATCTGGCATATCTTCTGGCATATTATCGGGCATTCTATCTGGCATATCTTCTGGCATATATTCTGACATATCTTCTGGCATTCTATCTGACATATCTTCTGGCATATATTCTGACATATCTTCTGGTCTGGCATTCTATCTGGCATATCTTCTGGAATATCTTCTGGCATATTTATCTGGCATATCTTCTGGCATATTTTCTGGCATTCTACCTGGCAAATCTTCTGGCACTCTATCTGACATTTTATCTTCCTACATGAGGTCCGGCAGGGAACACTTGGCATGGATACTCGCGGTTGAGGTCCGGCAGGGAACACTGGGCGTGGATGGTCGTGGTTGAGGTCCGGCAGGGAACACTGGGCGTGGATGGTCGTGGTTGAGGTCCGGCAGGGCACACTCACTGGGCGTGGATGGTCGTGTTTGAGGTCCGACAGAGAACGCTGTGGATCGCGGGTCGCAGTTGGACGAGGAGGACGACGAGGACGAGGAGGACGACGAGGAGGACGAGGAGGACGAGGAGGAGAGGAGGAGAGGAGGAGGAGGAGGAGGACGAGGCAGGAGGAGGCAACTGACATAAAATCTAACAACCCTCACCTGGCAGGTGGGGAAAAATGGAAAAATGGGGGTTTCAGGGCGTATATGTTTGTATGTTGCTTGTTATGATTTTGTGTTGGGGTTCAATGTTTCATCTTCGCCTTTGATGTTTTTTCAGGTGGGGTTTTGGGGGTAATTTTGTTGCTAAAGTGATGTGTCAATGTTTGGATTGAAGGGGGGTAGGATTTGTTTAGGCTGTTGGGGTTTTTGTTTGTGTTTGGGTGGGTGATTACTTCATAATATGTGTTGTTAAGATATTATGAATTAATCATTTATGCTTTCCACTTTCCTATTCCATCCCACCAGTGTTCAATCACTCTCATTTGTGTTAAGCAAGGTTTGTTTGTATCATTTAGTTCATCCATTGCTATTGATAAAAGCGTTAGGTTGATAATCATAGCGTTGAATTCTCCATCTCGGTTGAGTTCCTTTCCACAATCAATGATGACTTTTTTATCAGTGAGGTTTTCATACATCTTTTTCATTATATCAAATCTTACGAATGAATATATTATCATTCCATTTACTCCTTCTGCTTCTTTCATCCTATCAATTACTTTCTTCCAAAACTTGTCTCCTTCCTCATCATCTGGTGAAGGCATAGGATGGCACTTTACAAAGTCTCTAATCTCTTCATCTTCTTTTTCTATTTGTTTTCTTTCCCAATCATCGTCCTCACTATCACTACCAAAGTCAGCATATATACCAATATTCCCTGTATCTATAACCTCAATTTTTGCTCTACTCATTTTCTCTTACTATATATAGATATTTTTTCTTTAAGTATTTATCACTTTTTGTAGGTGCTCTTTTATTTCTTCTATGTTCAAATATTTCTCATAAACGTTGAACAGTTCTTCAACATATTCACGCAAGAAAATTTCCAAAATGTCTTTTATCTTGAACTCCCTGTTTCTAAACATAAAAGTTCGTTCAACATTAGGAAACCACCAGCATCTTCGTTGCTTACTGTAATTGATGAAATTAAGGTCGTGAAAGTTCTTTAGAATATGATAAGTGTATTTCCAATGGTTTTTGACATAAGACTTAATCGCTTGAAGATATATCTTATCTTTTTGAAATTCTACCTTCAGTTTATAGGTGTCCATTAAAGCGTCTATTTCTCTCTTCATTACTCTTACATTTGTTCGGTCGGTGTTGGATAAATAGATAGGTGATTTTTCCATCCTTGTTTTAAAGAAATGCATTTGTTTTTCAACTCTTGTTAGTTCTTTCTCTTCAAAACGGTCAAAATGATAGTTGAATGTTATATATCTGCGTTCCTTATCATTCAACTCTTTACATTTTGAACAGTGAAGGTTGTAATCACATATCTCATCACAAATTCCAGCAGGAAAAATGTTGTTCAATAAAACCTTAATGTCAGTCATTTCTTTCTTACAACATCCACAGTTTTTATAGGTAAATAGCATCCTCTTACTATATATAGGTAATTTTTCTTTAAGTAGTTTTTGGGGGCTCGTTCAGTTTTCGGGCTCGGGTTGGTTTTTATTTTCCCTTTCCTCCTCTTCCGGTTCTCTTATGACCATATCTATTTCACTCATTCCTTCGTTGGGGTCTTGTCCATTGGCGAGGTTTCTTAACCTCTCAAAATCCTTCACTTTATGTCTTTCATTGGGTGGGAGGGTTTTGAGATGTTCCTTCAACTCTGTCAGGTCAAAGTATGTGTCTTCCTCCTCATCCTCATTTTCCAAAAACATTTCCATTTTGCTTTTCCATTTCCATAAGTTTGTTTTCCATATATTGGAATTTCATTTGCTTCTTGTAGCACTTGCCACACACATTCACGAAGGTTTTGAGCAAGTAGTTCCAATTAGGTTGGTTTCTATCGTTCAGGGTTATAACATCTGTCATTATACGACATCCACAGTCAAATTTAGTCATCTTATTTAGTCTTACTATATATAGGTATTTTTTCTTTAAGTATATTTTTTATTGTTGATAATTTTAAAAATCTAATATTATAATATATGGCAAGGAGACTATCAAGAGATGACATCATAAGCAATGTCTATTATAATCTTGAAACGGGCTTCGGTTCAATCAATGAGACCCTTAAGAAAGCCAAGGAGCAAGACCAGACCATCAACAGGGTGGATGTGGAAAACTTTATGAGGAAACAGCCCAACAAACAGATTAGAAAATACAGGGGGTCAAACTCCTACACCGCACCCTTCGCAAGATTTGAATATCAGATTGACATAATGGATATGAAACCCCTTACCAAAGAACCAGAGACGAAAATTCCCATCAAGAACGATGAACCGAGATATGGGTTGGTGGTCATTGACATCTTCAGCAAGTTGGCAAACGTCGTCCCTATGAAAGAAAAATCCGGACCAATCACATTGTCGGCGATGAAAGAGAGTTTCAACAAAATGGGTTTTCCAATGTCCGTTTATAGTGATAATGACCGTGCCTTCCAAGCAGGGGTAAAAGAGTTCTTTGAGAAAGACGGCATCACTCACGTCCTCACCCTAACTCACGCCAATGTTGTGGAGCGTTTCATAAGGACAATGAAGAATATGATACACGACAGGGTGAGGTTTAATCGCGGTAGTTGGACTGTAATGTTGTCCAAAGCGTTAGATAAATACAACGACACCGTCCATTCATCCACCAAAATGAAACCCAAGGATGCCCACGACGACAAGAACCATATGGACGTCAGGGTGAATTTGACAAGGAGGGAAAAGAACACTCGCAAATATCCAGAGGTCAAAGTGAATGATATGGTCAAGGTCTTTGAGAAGAAAAAAGACAACTACACCGAGAGGAAGGAGTATAACTCAAAGTGGAGCAATCAATCCTACAAAATCGCCAAAATAGAATACGATGACGTCGGAAACAGAACCTTCAAACTGGAAGGATTGAACAAACCGTATTTGAGGCACGAGATTTTGAAAGTATAAAAAATTATCTATAATATTAATATATGACAGAGGTAGTCGTAAAAGAGATTGATAATGAAGAACCAAAGGAAGAAACAATACCAGAACCAATGCAGGAAGAAGCACGGCAAAGCCCTGCTTCCTATCGGGAAGCACCGAAGGAAGAGGAGAAACCAGAAGAAACAATTGAACCACCCGTTCAAGAGAAACCGCAACCAGCGCCAAAGCCCAAAAGGGTAAGACCGTCAAGGGCGAAACCACCTTTTGACCCAGAAGCATTCAAAAACGACCTTGTAAAACAAATAAAGGAAGAACTACAAAGTGCGATGTCCGCCAGAGACACCTACAACAAAGCCAAAGAGGAAAAGAACAAAGCGACGAGAGAGAAATTGAAATCTTTAGCATCAAAAATTTTATAAAGTATTATATATAAAAATGAACATCAAGGAACAGAAAACGGAACTCAACAAAACTGACATCTACGAAAACGTCCGCAAGGACATCAACAGAAGACAAACCGTCCATTCAAACAAAAGTGCCAATTACCGGAGCGGAACGCCCGAAATGCCAGACAGAAGAAAAAAAGTGTATAGTAGTTATGACCACTACTACCACAACGACAGCAACACGGCAAGGATGCCAACTCACAACCATCATCTTTACCTGAAGCG